CTCTGCTTAATAATTATATTTTACTGGCCAAAACAACGGACAATTTAGAGCACCCAGTCATTACTGCGGAATTCAAGATGTAGAGTCTGTCAATGAACTATTCACATGTAACATTGTATACTATTATTCTTTGTAAGTAAAACTCAGGTCAAGTTGGGACTGTTTCAAATACTGTTTGTTGGTCCTTCTAACTCTCAGAGGTATCTTCAAGTTCCGATGTCTTTCCATCATTTCTCTAAAGCAGTCCAAGATGTTTACTGAATTGCTAATGTTCCCGTCAGCTGCCAATCAGGGCCTAATTCTATTTGTACAGTTATATAAGGTAGTAACAGTGGCTACTGTTACGTGATCTCACAGGTAGTTGCCACGCACGAGTTGGTAGACAACTTTCACCCAACACTGGATGTTTTTTGCAGTAGATCACATATACACAAAATTGTGACAGGTAGAAAGCAGCAAATGTTATGTAAAATATTCTGTGAGTATTCTACAGAATTTTAAATAGTTTTTTGTCTGTGTGATACAAAACGTACCCATTTATACCCATAAATGCTGGTAACATCCCTAAAACCCAACACACTGTCAGGTTCGTTTTTGCCATTGCTGGGTTCGGTTTATTTTCTAAACTGATAAAACCATACTTACAGCAGATCCTTTCTGATTTTATGCTATTTTTACAGTTTGCATTGGTGCTAGAGGGGTTTTGAAAGCATTGCTTATAGAATGTTTTGTGTCCCATATTAGACATGCAAAAAATGTTTAGTTATTCGTCCGAATAAAATTCACAGCAATCATCTAATGAACTGATTCCAAAACTTTGGTTTGTTCTTTAAACATTTGTGAATTAACTGAATGCTATGAATTATCTAATCCTAGAATTGCCATGAAGTTTATTTGGAAATGTACTTATAACGAATTTCAATACATGTCTACTCCATACGTGTTATCATGCCTCTGTACATAACAGTCATTTGCCTAGGTGAACCTAAACACAATAAATGTTCCCTATCAACCACTAACCCCATATCACAAAATTAAGTACTAAATATGTGGAGTTCAAGGCACTGTATATTTAAAAATGTTTTATTAAAAAAAAAAAAAATGAAAATATTGTTTGTGTTTTATGAGTTATTTGCTTCAAACTATGTGATGATCTCTGTTGTGTTAGCAGACACAGTGAAGGAACAAAAAAAAATCCCATGCATTTTTCACCATGTAATGCCATATTACACATGTGCAATTGTCTAAGATTTGACTTTGTAAGATAGTAAATGCTTATTGGCAAAAACTTGGGATTTGGTCACTACACTGAAATCTTGGAGAATTCTGGAGAACTGACAAGTTTACAATTCCATAGTCAATTGTCTATATTTCTTAGTTTAAAGTATGAAAACTTTAGATTGTTATAGTAAAAGTTTGAAAATAATGATATTTAGACAGAAGTCTGTAGCAACACCTATGTATCTAGATTGTAATAATTATTAAAGAAATTGATCTACATCACGTCTGAATCTCAGCACAATCACAGCATGTCTGTAACAGTTACACAAACATTTTTATGGACATATTAAATATTAAAAATCATATCACGCTGTTTAAACAACTGATACATGTCTCCTCACAGGGTAGTAATAACTAGTGTTAAAAATGATAACTTCTCCCTTTGCATAATGTAGAACCTTATATAAAAACTTATCAAAATATCTTATTAACAAATTTCAGAAGATGTAAAGCAACACTTGAGGGTCAGGAACACAAACATGTATTCCTGACTCTATAGTGTTAAGAACACAATCTAGCCTTCCTGGCCCGCTCCTTAAAGGGACACTATAGTCACCTGAACAACTTTAGCTTAATGAAGCAGTTTTGGTGTATAGAACATGCCCCTGCAGCCTCACTGCTCAATCCTCTGCCATTTAGGAGTTAAATCACTGAACCCTAGTCACACCTCCCTGCATGTGACTTGCACAGCCTTCCATAAACACTTCCTGTAAAGAGAGCCCTATTTAGGCTTTCTTTATTGCAAGTTCTGTTTGATTAAGATTTTCTTATCCCCTGCTATGTTAATAGCTTGCTAGACCCTGCAGACACATACAGAGACACATACAGACACACACACACACACAAGACACTCATACATACAGACAGACACACACATACAGACAGACAGGCACACTTACATACAGACAGACACACACAGACACATACAGACAGACACACACACATACACACATACAGACACACATTCAGACACACACACAGACACACACACACACATATACATACAGAGACACAGACAGACACACACAAACACATACATACACACATACATACAAACAAAAACACACATATACAAAATGTTTACGTCACCCTCCTGTTTCCTGCCTTTTAGTTGCAGGAAGGTGACTTTCCCTTGGGTCCAGTGGGGGCTCAGGCTGGTGGGCTCTCACTGACAGCTGGGCAGAGTGATGAGCAGTCACTTCCTCCCAGCTGTGATGTCATCACAGGGGGCCCGGTCGCGCTATTAAAGCGCCGCAGCGCTGACCGGGGCCCTCTGGAAATTCATCTCTATTGGGTTGCCCTAACGATGGGCGGGCCCCTTGAACGTGTGGCCACGGTGGTTTGCCGCGCGGGTCGGGGCCGCAACACATGGCGACGGGCACCCGGTTGCAGGGGTCCGCTAGGCGGCCTGGCCCTCTGGAGTTATGGGCAGGTCACCGCTATGACCCCTGCAACCGCGGTATGTACGCCACTGGCGAGTATCTAACTCCTAAGTGCCGTTCATTTTCCACACTTAGATGCTGATTGGACAGGGGTTTATTTGGCTTGTGCTGGCTCTGCCCCTGATCTGCCTACTTGACAATCTTAGACAATCCAATGCTTTCCTATTGAAAAGGATTGTGATTGGCTCAGATCACCACTTCTGATAATGTCAGCTAAGGAGGCAGATCAGGGGCATGCCCATGGACACTTGTCCCTACCTGCCCTAACCTACTAGCCTGCCTGAGTCTAAGTATTACCTGTCACCTTTATTCTCGCTCACACTCTCATACATGGACCCACAGGAGTTCGTCCCGCCGGGTCTTTGTGCGCAGCAGCCATCTTGGATCTCGCGAGGACGTGAGATTCACAACGGCCATTTGCTTGTCTTCCCACAGGCGCTCGGTGGTGGCCTGCAACAGCATTCCTATTTGGTGAACTGCTGACAGGCAAATTTATCCACTAAACAAGGGCTGTGAGCTACACTTCTACAAGCACCTACAGGATTAAAAGGTGCTCCCCTGGGTACGTATCTGCTGTTTCACCCTCGCCAGCATGGAGAAGGCAGGAAAGGCATAAGCTCCCTGGTTCGATCAGTTCTGGAGGAATGCATCTACAGCCTCGCATTCCGGATCTGGTAGACAACTTAAGAATCTGGGAAGTTGTCGGTTGTTCAAAAGTCAGTTGTTGAAAAGATCGAGAATCAGTGGACCCCTGTGTTCGAGTAGTTTGACACCTCTAGTGGCAGGAGGGACACCTCTAGTGGCAGTCAGTGCAGCACTGTCGTTCAGTGTCTTCACGCTCTGCATGGAGGCGCTGAACTTTCCCCATAGAGATGAACTGAGTCAATGCAATCTTTATGAGGAGATGCTGATTGTTGCAAAGTAGCGTTTTGCCGCGCATGCCTGATAGCCTCCCAATGCTTTCCTAAGCATTTGATTGGCTGAGATCATCCATTCTGGGCTGAGCCAGCACCGGCAGACCCGGACGGTGTTGAAAAAAGGTAAGTTTTTTACCCATTTAAGGGGAGCAAAGTGGGGACGGGGACCTTTACATGTTTGCATTCCTGACCCTCTAGTGTTACAGTTGCAAGAAAGAGTATGTGAACACTTTGGAATGATATGGATATCTGCACAAATTTGTCATAAAATGTGATCTGATCATCATCTAAGTTACAACAATAGACACTCACAGTCTGCTTAAACTAATAACACACAAAGAATGAAATGTTGCCATGTTTTTATTGAACACACCATGTAAACATTCACAGTGCAGGTGGAAAAAGTATGTTAGTGAGTGAGTGTGTGTGTGTGTGTGTGTGTGTGTGTGTGTGTGTGTGTGTGTGTGTGTGTGTGTGTGTGTGTGTGTGTGTGTGTGTGTGTGTGTGTCTGTTAGTGTGTGTGTGTGTGTCCGTGTATGTGTTCATTTATGTTAGTGAGTGTGTGTGTGTGTCTGTTAGTGTGTGTGTCTGTCTGTTAGTGAGTGTGTGTCTGTTAGTGTGTGTGTGTGTGTGTGTGTGTTAGTGAGTGTGTATCTGTTAGTGTGTGTGTGTGTGTGTGTGTGTCTGTTAGTGAGTGTGTATCTGTTAGTGTGTGTGTCTGTTAGTGAGTGTGTGTATGTCAGGGAGTGTGTCTGTTAGGAAATGTGTTACCATGTGTGTGTCGGTTAGTGAGAGTGTCTGCTAGTGACTGTATGTGTCTGTTAGTGAGTGTGTATGTCTGTTAGCTAGTGTATGCGTGTCTGTCAGTGAATGTGTGTGTGTGTATTTAGAAGGCGGGGTAGGGGTAAAGGGGGAGTGGTTGGGGGAGCGCCTGAGTTTTGTCATGCTTAGGGCAGCACAAAACCAGGATACACCACTGGTTACATCTTAGCACTTCAGCATGATTTTTCAGCTTTTAGAGGATTTTTGATATACCATCTAGTGTAACATACAACTTAAACCTGTTTGTAAAATGTCTACTCAACTTGGTCTGCTGTAAACATTTTAGATTTTTTTTTCTTAAAATCCGTTGTTTATACCCTGTGATTTTCTTCTGCTCTCAACATGAATCACTTTTCTAAAGCATTATACCCCAATATAAGGAGTTACTGTTGAGATCATGTCTATGAAAATTCTCATCTGATACATGTCTTCATATGATTTGTTCTCCAAACTATATAAATGCATTTAAAGGAACACTATAGTCACCTAAATTACTTTAGCTAAATAAAGCAGTTTTAGTGTATCCCCTGCAATTTCACTGCTCAATTCACTGTCATTTGGGATTTAAATCACTTTGTTTCTGTTTATGCAGCCCTAGCCACACCTCCCCTGGCTATGATTGACAGAGCCTGCATGAAAAAAAAAAACTGGTTTCACTTTCAAACAGATGTAATTTACCTTAAATAATTGTATCTCAATCTCTAAATTGAACTTTAATCACATACAGGAGGCTCTTGCAGGGTCTAGCAAGCTATTAACATATCAGGAGATAAGAAAATCTTAAACAGAACTTGCAATAAAGAAAGTCTAAATAGGGCTTTCTTTACAGGAAGTGTTTATGGAAGGCTGTGCAAGTCACATGCAGGGAGGTGTGACTAGGGTTCATAAACAAAGGGATTTAACTCCTAAATGGCAGAGGATTGAGCAGTGAGGCTGCAGGGGCATGTTCTATACACCAAAACTGCTTCATTAAGCTAAAGTTGTTCAGGTGACTATAGTGTCCCTTTAAGTACTGAATCTCTCGATTTTACATTTCCCAGCAAATTTCTGCAAGCTCCAGGTACTGACGGAAGATACTCCGTTTAATTTATTCTTACATTGTTACCATATTCTCATTTGTTACTATAGCGTTGTTATTAATATTTTGGGTGATAGAATTTGGTTGGTAAACTTTTTATGATATACAATAAATGTTTACTCAACAACCAACCCCACCCCGCCCTCCCCTCTTTCCTTTGCTCCTCCTGGCCGTAAATACCTCCATATAACTGTTCAATCTCCATCTCTGTTCTTTAGACCTCATATCACACTCCCAGAACCAACAATATTGAATCTCTCCATTTTTTCTCAGCACTGTTTGGGGCCATTAATAGGTTCCATGAAGCTTGGCTTTGCTCTATAATACGTGAGTTGATTTCTTTTTTTTATTCTATTACTTCAGAAGGAAACTTTCTGTTCTTTTGCTGCATATCATCATAAAAGACAAACTACAATTGAAATCAAAGCATGAGAAAGTTGAAAGAGACTTTTGTTATTTCCATATCAAATACAAATTGTAAGGTATATAATATTGCCGTTGTGGAACCCCACCCTTTATTAAGCCACCACACCTGGAACCCTTAACAATATAATTTGTCATTTGTGTGAATGTATGTGTAAATAAATAACAGATAAAATTCCATTCAGATAGAGATAAATTAAATATGTATGATGTGTGTGCTAGATTTCTATATGACTGATTAAAAGACCGGTGAGCGGCTATCATTTGGCACAATGTATCTTTGGAGTCCAGGCCTTGGCACCTGGCAATTTTGAACCTACTAAGCGTGAGTGCGGGCAATATTGTTGTCTCTTTTTATATATACAGTTGCAAGAAAAAGTATGTGAACCCTTTGGAATGATATGGATTTCTGCACAAATTGGTCATAAAATGTGATCTGATCATCATCTAAGTCACAACAATAGACAATCACAGTCTGCTTAAACTAATAACACACAAAGAATGAAATGTTGCCATAAACATTCACAGTGTGTGTTATTAGTTTAAGCAGACCGTGATTGTCTATTGTTGTGATTTAGATGATGATCAGATCACATTTTATGACCAATTTGTGCAGAAATCTATATCATTCCAAAGGGTTCACATACTTTTTCTTGCAACTGTATTTATATGCAATGTAAAGCTTACTACAACACATCCTACATATACAGTGTATACATGGTACAAAGTCCCTGATCATACAGGAGATTAGGCACCTGCGTTCTGATTTTGAGGTTCAGATTAGCCTTGCACTCATCTTATCTGAGCAGTAACTGAGCTATGTGACTGGTGGTTAATCTGGCATTAAACAGAAAAAGATACCAGGTATGTGGGTGCCAACCAAAGCTGTTTTCCTCTGCGGATGTTGACTCGCCAGGCTTTAACAGTGAGGGAACACAACACTATTCTGCTAATAATTTAAATATAATTAAGGGGTAAAAAAAACATGCATCAGTCGGTTGCTCCTTCTCCACTCCCACCCTACATGCAGGCCTTGGAGGCCTATTGTAAATATGCCATTGTTTTCTGTTGGTTTATATATTTTTGGTATTGAGAAGTGTAGTATGTTTTAAGTGAGATATTCATTAACCCTTTATCACCAATAATTATTTTTAGTTTCCATATTGATCCAACTACAAGCAAATGTTTGCTGCCTCTAAACTTTTTTCACTCACGTACTCCTTTGATCTTTTTCAATCCACAGTATCAAATGCTCACCGTGACGGACACTCTATTGACCTGGTGTTTTCCTATATAAAATAAAGATGTCAGCGATTTATTGGAAAAACCCTAAATCACATACCGGGTAATCCACATATACTTTATGAAGTAGAAACAACTGTATATGCACTTTTAAAATTGGTTAAAAAAAATTACCTTAAAACCGATCAGCAGCCTATATATTACAGCATGTACTATTTCAAAAAAAGGTATAAATACTGAAATGCTCAAGAGTCCTTGGGTAGTAACACAGAGGGTTAATCTTGCCACACAGATAGGATCCACAGTGTTGAAATACACTGTATACCACCAGGGCCGGACTGGGGATTCCAAAGCAGCCCTGGAAAAAAAATCTATGCCAGCCCCATAAGTCATTGCGCCATATATTGTCGCATGTAATATGTAAGGCTATGTCTTGCCACCCTAGATGATTGATATATATATATGCTTTTTCCAATATAAAATATTGGTCCTTTCAGAGTAAAATTTTTAATTATACAGTAAGCATACTCACATGCAGACACAGACAATCTCACTGACACAAGATGATTGATACACAGCCTCATAAACAAACAATCTCACTGATATACATAAGGTCATTGACATAAAAACACAAGCTCACTCAGTAGCAGGCACGCACAACACAACGCACACACACACACACGCACACACACACAGCTTAATGTAGTGGTTCTGGTGTCTATAGCCTGTCCCTGCAGACTTTTCAATGTAAACACTGACTTTTTAGAGAAAAGGCAGTGTTTACATTGCTTCCTAGTGACAGACACTCAGACGGTCACTAGAGGTGCTTCCTGTGTCAGTGCGGATTGGCTGAGATCATCAAGCTTGATGATCTCAGCCATTGAGGCAGGGCCAGTCGAGGGGAGACCAGCACGACGTGGGGGGGGAAAAGGTGAGTAAAAACACACATACCATGACAGACACACACCATGACACAGACAGACCGTGACACAGACACACACACCGTGACACAGACAGAAACACAGACACACCATGACACAGACAGACACACACCATGACAGACACACACACATACCATGACAGAAAACACACCATAACACAGACAGACTGTGACACAAACACACACTGTGACACAGACACACATTACATGACACAGACGGACACACACACCATGACACACAGGCACCACGACACAGAGAGACCGTGACACAGACACACGGTGACACAGACAGACACACACACCATGACAAACACACACACACCTTGACACAGACAGACCATGACACAGACACACACACCATGATGGACAGAGACACACACACACCATGACACAGACAGACACACACACACCATGACACGGACAGACACACACACCATGACAGACAGAGACACACACACACCATGACAGACAGAGACACACACACACAATGACACAGACAGACACACACACCATGACACAGACACACATACACTCACATGACACAGACAGACACACACACCATGACACAGACACACATACACTCACATAATTTCTACCTTTGTGCTGGCGGCCGCATGGGGAGCTGAGTCTTCTTGCGGCCGTAGGGGGAGCTGGCTGTTCTGTCTCTGCTCCCCCGCTCCAGCGCGCCACTTAATGAGACCGGGGCCGGAATATGACTCTGAACCAAATGCCGCTCGCGCTTCAACACGTTTCGCCCGTGTCACCGGGCTATCTCAAGATACTATAAAGAAGTATAAAGACGACTGATGTAATCATCTTTATTAACCTGTCTGTTTTATAACATTTATTAATTTGCTTCGTTACATTTGTATATTAAGAGATACCCCTTCCTGTCTTACTGGAGATTCTTGGCTGATATCAGCATATCTAATGGCTAGTGTAGGAACTCACCTATTGAGGCTTGCCTTGACGTGGCAGGTGAGCTTTTATATATTTAAATGGAGATTGGAATAAAACTAAAGAGCCTCCATTTTGTTTAAATGTACATGGGGATTTAGGCCAGAGTGCAGGTAACGTTCTCTTTGTTTTTACTCTGTATTTTAAGCTGTTGGATACTAAGCTACTGCTGCTGTAAGCGCGGTGCTTTATCTTTGTGTTTACATTTGTATATTAGGATGATAACTGTTATTGTATCACTTGTATGCTTTTATAAGTTTTTTCTTTATGTACCTTTTTAACCCCATTTAATATGTATTGAAAAATAAACGTTTTCCAGGTAATATGGCACTTTTATATACTGGTGTTTTCCTACCTCTGCTCCATATCTGACTCAGCCCGTCGCCCTTTTCCTGTTTCACAACACCGCCTTATTTGCTATAACCTCGATCTATCAGCTAAACCCACTTCTCCTCCATCTCACCTCCACAACTATATAAAAACAAATTAAAAAATCCCTATGGGATATAACGTATGTTCTAAGTAGCACAACATAGGATATCAACATAGGGCCAAAGGATGTCGGTAATCGACTCACTAACAGCATATAAAAAAACCTATGGATAAGGAAACACAGAATCCACCAACTGAAGGAGCCAGACTTTCGGCAAAATGCATTTTGGGGCACATTTGGTTGTAGCACTTTATATCCCATAGTGACTTTTGAATTTGTTTTTATATTTACAATTTTTGTTGAATTTCGTTAAATAAATATAGAGCATCTTAAGATCATATGTGAGTCTACCAATCCTCATTTATGAAGACATTGTCTGATACTATTGGAACCCTGTGAGTGCAACAATTTGCAGATTGTGTCTATTTTACAGTGTTACACAATACACATCTTCTTGTTTTAAGCACCATCTATGTCACTGAGTGACACTACCTACAGAATATTGTTGTAAATCCCCCCAAGGATCCAGAAGCTCTATACACTAGAGCCAAGTGATCCTTTGGCTCTATCTTTGTAAGTGTATACCTCCCACTTTCAAATATTTTTAGTTTATGTATAGACTATCTGCACCAGTATATTCCATTCTGTCTCTTTACAGACTTCAACATATTATACATATTAAGGTATATATTAGCTCCTCCCACTGTGTGTTTTTTTTCTTGTATTTTTTTTTGTATTTCATTGAAGTGTGGGTTAAGGCGATCTCTCATGGGAGTCGGAGCTTATCCACTATACCACGATTGTTGTACACTTAGAGTTGATATAATAATAATATATGAGTTCTGACACAGCCTGTAACGTACAACCCAACACGCAGCGTGAAAACCCACCAGAATAAATAGAGACAGAAAGAAGGTCCCTAAACCGGTCCTTAGAATGGCCGGAATATAGAATAAACTTCAAGGAACATCAGAACAAGTCAAGATCAAGGGGAGCCAGAAAACAGAATAGTCGAGGGCAAGCCGGGTCAAAACCAATTATATACCAAAAGGGACACAAGAACACGCTATAGGGACACTAGTGACACTAGGAACCACAACAGGGCACTGTGCCTTGGGCAGACTGGGATTTTATATGGTTGGGGGCATGGTTAACATAGCCACACCCTCAAAAAGTATGTGAGTGTGCTGAGAAGAGCTTAGAGCTCTTCTGATGTCATGACGCTGGCACGCGTGCGCCACATGATAAATAGGGGCGGGCGCACAGCAGTTGGCGTCCCTGAGGCTGACTGGAGCCACCTGCTGCGTGGGAGAAGCGGTCCGCCGGATCCCAGCGTCTGGAGATGGGTGGACCGCTACGGTAAGTGTGAGAGGCCTATCACAGCCTCCTTTTCTGTGCTGTATTGCATTAAAAAGGTACATTTCTAAAGTTAATTAAGATAATTTCTTACAGGACCTTTAATGTTAAAAACATTAGATATAATTTATAAAATAATAAGACACATTAAATGGAAAGTATGAAAAAAATGTAATTATTCAAATTATATTTGTTCAAGATCTGATTGATAAAATCTAAAACTGAGCGACATGGCATTAAAATGGGTATTTCTTTATCATTTCACATCCTAATCACAAAAACTAAAACTATACAGACATACCGGCTTCAGTACATTGCCTATACTATAACAAAGCCTTCCAGTTATATTGTATTATATTTCCGGCCAAGGTGAAGCATCTCATCAAGTGACTATTGAGTAATTAAACTTCTAAAAGTAGAAATGTTTAACTAGAGTTAACCATTAACTGGTCAAGTAAAAAATGTAAGGCTGAATCAACTTCCTAACAAAACATTATTGTGGAAAACTGCTTAGCCCATGAAATACTCATTGTTTACTAAAAAAACATGAGTAAACAGACATAGAAACAATGAGCGTAGTAATGTGTCAAAATGAAAAATGAGAGAAAGGAAAAAGCAATCAAAATGTACAGAGAGAATTGGTAGAAAAACCTCAGAGTAAAGATATTAAGGTCAGTAATTTATCAAAATGAAACAAAGTTACGAAAGAAAATGTATTATTATAATTTGTAAAGAGCCAACGCATTCCATAGGACTTTACAATTAAACAAAGAGGATGGATAACAACAAGTAATTAACTGACAAAATATTATTGACAGATAGAAGAGGTGAAGAGTGTCCTGTTCAACAGAGCTCACACTCTAGTAAATAAAAGTACATAGAGAGAATGAGGAGAGTATTTTGATCAGAGAAAAACAAACTATGATTAATTTCCTTTAATAATTTCAAGCACCTCGAGGTTAGATTGCGTTTACGTTCATAGGTGTTTCTGAATGTAATGATTTTTATTTTTTTAAATAAATGAGATCACATGTTTGCTGTGTAAACGAGCTGACACATTTTACTGATTCAATCTGTGAAACATTTTTTCGAGATGACCCTAAGGATTTCCTGTGAATTGTGAAACCTGAGGTTAAACTACTATAAAGACAGTTAAGATGTTACAGGACTGTAGAACTGATAAGTATAGCTTGAGCACTGCAGCAATAACATAGCTCATGTCTAATACGATTTATTAAGGTCATGGATGATGCCATTAATCACTAAGCACAAAGTACACATTTGCTGTACCGATGTAAGTATTTACTTAATATTAAAAGGCACCATAACAATTTTAAAAGAATGTTGTTGTTATGGTGCCAGAGGTCACCTGGCGCTTTCTTACCTTAATGGGTTTAACTGTTCATGACTCTAACTTATTAAAAGCACAATGCTAAGGTGATTTCAAATTTTTTTTGGTTGATTGTTGAAGATCCAAACTGTGCTGTGTTTGGGGGCAGGCTGGGCCAGGGGGCAATTGTCCCCCAGTCAGCCCAAATTCTAGGCATACCAGCCGGTAATCCAGCCTGTGCCAGCATTAGGAATACACTGGCAGCATTGACAGTATGTTTTGTGGCTAGCAACCAGCTAGCTGCCGCTGCTGAGAGTAGGAGTCATCGCAGTACCTGCGCACAGTCTAAATCCTGTCTGTCCTTTCTGACAATGTGTAACAATAGATTCATAAAAAATGAATCCATCACAAGTTGCTCTGTACAGCAATCCCTTTAATTTTGCATCTACAATCGGCAATGTTTTGACATTGCTTGATGAAGATACCAGAAACGTTGCCCGGTTTAGTAGCATAATGAAACGTATGGGGATCATTCTAGATGAATTACTGGTTTTGCACATTTTGAATATTTATGTGATTATTTGCATGACATATGACGTCATTAATAGTGACAAGCGCACATGCACAAGGTAATGAAATATATATATTTAAACACAACAGTACATAGCTCTATGAACTGCCTGGCTAATTGATTGGCTGATGTAAATTATAAATATGACAATGATCAGCCTGCCCCTAGCTGCTAGTACATCACAGTAAGCTGTTACAAAACAGCTGGAGCTCTAAAAACATTTACCAACATGTTATTATAGACAGAGGACCTCCAGGTGTCGTTCAGGGACTACCACTGCCACAAACAGTTGACATCCAAAAGCACAGTAAGTACTTGGCAAAGGTTCATCGATGTTTCTGTGCTCAGGGACCACGTTGATTCCCACTATACATCAGGGAGCTTCTGGGCATGCCATCTAGGTCCTGGGGTAAGTGCAGTGGATGCCATCTGGATGTAGAGCAAGTGATGGTAATACCATCTGGGTGCGAGAGGAAGTCAGACAGGATGTAGATTTGCACATCCACTTGAGAAACTCATTGTGGATATTTTAATATTTTATTCTGTATTCCAAATAGAGGTATTTTGGCTACTTTTAACACACTTTGATTGTACCATTTTACTTTTTTATTTTATTTTTATTTTGCTTGGTATCCTAATTTTATTCTTCCTGCTGAGTATTACTCCAAGACATCCTAGGTGGGGATTATACCACTCACTCCCGAGTCATTAAGCAGTTTGCCTGCTCAATCATATGTGAGTACACATTTTATTATTTATACTCCTTATATATAATTTTATACAGCGAGCACTATCAGTTGTCTCTCTTCTCTCTTATTATCTACATATCGGTGCTAGACTTATCACTCTACACATATCCTACAAGCGGGGATTATACCGCTGAATGCCATTCACACTAGAGCTGGTTCAAGCTCTACTGCACGTGAGTAGGACTATATTAGACTCTGTTGTTGTACAAACCATCTTTACTAGACGTACTGCCCTATCATCACTTCCACACACGGATTAAAAGACCAATACTTCTCTACGTATCCCACAAGCGGGGATTGTACCGCTGTATGCCATCCACACTAGAGCTAGTTTAGCTCTACTACACATGAGTAGGATTACCATAGATCCCTTCTCCTTGCTACCCAACCTTTTTACTAGACGTATTTGCACTACTATTTTCTTCTCTCTCTACTTATGGATCCTGGAAAGCCGTCTCTATTTGATCCATATAGAGAAGTTTTCCTCTACATAGGCCGTTGGTGCCCCATCAGGCTCCACTAAAGACTTTGTTACGGTACCACCAAAAGATTTTGGACTTTGTTCATATTAGCTGTACTATAGTCAGCTTTTGGCGCAACCTTCTTTTGTCTTGTCTTGTGTATTACCTTTGTCAAAAGGGGTTAGAGGGAACCCTATTTTTAGGTTTGCTGCATCCTACTTTCCCTATTTATAGTATTGGTTTATTTTAGCGCTGTTCCCTTTTTTGTATATTCCCAGGATGTAGATTTGCACATACACAGTGCACAGGCACCGCACTACCTCTCCTTCCCCGCAGAGGGGACTGGTTCACTGGCTGGGTGCCAGCCACAAAATATACCTATGGTTACAGAAGCCGTGACAGATCTCCCAGAAAATACAAGAAGAAGAGCAATCTGTGCGTGGGCTGTAACCAGATAGCACCACAAGGCAAAAATCTTTGTATCAAATGCCTAACTGAGGTTGCTGAAGAAAATACTAAAATAACATCTCCTCAAGAGGATCTAAAAGCCTGAATTTCCCAAGCTATTGCAGAAGGCTTTAAAGCCACAGCTAAAAGCATGGGTCAGTCTAAACGCTCTGAAATTTAGACACCTTCTTCAGAATCAAGTGCAAATTCAGTATATGAAGCAGGATGCTCTGAAAAAGATGAGGAGGAAATATATCACAGGACTATAGACTCCAGAATGGTTGACAGGCTGATTTTAGAAACACCTTAAAAAATCCAGGAAGAAAAGTCTGAATGTCTGGAATCTGACTGATATTTTGAGGACTTGAAACCATCAAGGTCTTCATTTCCATTCTATAATTCTATCAAGACTATAATAATACTGGAAGAATGGAGAAAACCTGAAAAGAAGGTTACCTTAAAAAATAAGGCTTCTAGATTTTATCCGGCCTCTTAGGAAGATTCCAAATGCTGAAACTCTATACCAAAAATAGATGCAGCAGTAATTTGAATGGCAAAACAAACTACATTCCCTGTAGATTCACTAGCATATCTACGTGAACCAATAGAGAAAAGAATGTATGCGGATCTAAATAAAATGAGGCTACACAAAAAGCGGCTGATAGCAAGAAAGCATTTCTTCCACAGGAGAAAAGACGTCCTATCTATTCTTCATCAAAACAGAGACGCTATAAAGACCGGTCATTTCGCAAAAGCAGAGCATATAGACCAGGGAGGGAATATAATAGATATTCCACTTGGAGGAATTATCAGTCCACATCCTCCTCTACAGCCTAAAGCCTCAAAAGGAAGAGGACTACGTACGTCGTCTAAAAATTTATGAAGGTGTGTAGGTCCAAGAAGGAGTCATTGGAGGAAGACTTCAATTATTTTACCCCGCCTGGACCAAGAATGTTACAGATTCCTGGACCTTAAAGATAATAGAAGAAGGTTACAAACTGGAATTTGCAGAGTTTCCAACATCACATATTTTCAATGAGTCAAAGGTCTTGACTCCGACAAAGAAAGAGGCTATGATACAAATTATTTCAAACCTCTTAGACCAAAGGGTTATAGAAAAAGTTCCTTCAAGAGAAAGATTCAAAGGAAGATACTCAAGGGTATTCTGGCTCCATAACCAAAGAACAAGTGGAGACTCATAATGGACCTAAAAGAAATAAATCTGGAACTCAAAAAGTTGTCTTTCAAAATGGAATCAATTTCTTCAATTATCCCATCGATAAGACAAGAAGATTTGATCACCTCAATAGATCCCAGGAATGCCTACTATCAGATTCCAGTGTATCCATTACACTTCAAATTCCTGAGATTTTTCATCTTTGGCAAGCATTACCAATTCAGATGTCTTCCCTTCAGTCTGAGCTTAGCCCCCAAAACTTTCTCAAGACCCTGACCCTGATTGCCTTCTTAAGAACTCAAAGTTTGATGATTTTTTCATTACCTAGACGACATCCTTATAGTAGCAGAATCTTTCAACAAGACAGTACTTCGCACAAATATGGCTCTTCAATGTCTCCAATACCATGGTTGGGTTGTAAATATGGAAAAGAGTTATCTGACCCCATCTCACCAGATCATCTATTTGGGAGCAGAAATAGACACCATGACAGCATCAGTAAATATCTCTTCACGTAGAAGTTCCTGCATTCAAGAGAAAATTCTGAAGATTCTGAAGAAGAGATCCACATCAGCAAGAGATTATATGAGTCTTCTAGGATCCCTCACTTCCACCTTAGGTCTGGTGAGATGGGTGTTATGGAATTCCGGCCAACTCAAATGAATTTCCTTCTTCAATTCAAAGAATTACAAAACAATTAGGACCAAGAAATCCTGATTCCCCAACACATAAAGAACCAACTAAGGTGGTAGCTATCCAGTCACAATCTCCAGAAAGGGTTTCCTTTAGAAGAACCAAACTGCATCAGTATTACAAGAGACACCAGCCTCAAAGGTTGGGGAGACCATTTTAGATCCACCTGGACTCAGGGAACTTGGTCTAAGAGGGAGAAGAAACTAGATTCTAACATAAAAGTTCATGACCATCCACAAAGCAGTGAAAGTGTTTCTTCCAGACCGTCAGAAGAAATGGGTATTGATTCGGACAGACAACAAGGCAGTTGCAGCATATGTCAATCATCATGGGGGCACCAAAAGCAAATGTCATTTTTCAGCTATAAAACCCCTCATGATTCTGGCTCAGAAACACCTGTTAGAGCTAAAAGCTGTGTACCTACCTGGAGTGGACAACACCATGGCAGATTACTTGAGCAGAGAAGCCTAATCCCAGAGGTATTCAGGATGATCACACATACCCCAAATCAACCTCATGGCAAACAAAGAATGCACAAGTACGGAAATGTTTCTCCCTGAATCAAGATCCTCTGCCAGCAGGTCAAGATGCTCTGTTCCAACAGTGGGATTTCAATCTGGGGTATGTGTTCCCTCCCCTACCTATGATTCCTCGCCTATTGAAGAAGATTGACAAAGAAAGGAAAAAGATCATTGCCATTATCCCCATGTGGCCAAGAAACCCTGGTATCCACTCTTACTCAAGATGGCTATATCCAGACCTTGGCAAAGTTCTCCCAGGAAGGGCATTCTAGTCCAAGGCCCAGTATTTCATCCAAACCCATCTCAGTGGAATCTGGGATCATGGCTTTTGAACGGTCAACTCTATTAAAACAGGGCCTATCGGATAAAGTTGTTGATACTCTCCTAAAATCTACGGAAAAATCCACTTCTTCCTGTTATTTCAAAATCTGGGAAACCTTCAAATCATGGGCTGGTTAAGTTTCTATTGATCCTATAAATCCATCACACATTAAGATTCTGGAATTTTTACAATCGGGTCTGGATAAAGGACTTAGTTTAAGTACTCTCAAAATCCAATCTTTAGCTTTATCTGTGCTCCACAATACATCCTGCATTTCACACCCACTTATTTCAAGATTTTTCAAGGCAGCTATGAGAATTAACCTCCCAGCAAGAAATGCTGATCCTCCTTGGGATCTTCCTCTAGTTCTACAAGTTTTAACAGAACAACCATATGCCTCTCTCTCACAGATTTCTATCCAACATCTTACCTACAAAACTAAGTTTCTGGTTCCAATTACAACCGCTAAACGTATTTCCGAACTTCAAGCATTTTCATCTCAAGACTCCCATACTCTAATTTTCCACCAGTAGTTCTTAAACCTGTTCAAAAGTTCTTTCCTAAAGTGGTATCTAATTTCCACATGGGTCAAGAAGTAATTTTAGCATCCTTCATTCCAAATCCTCAAACTCTAGAAGTGAAGCTTCTTGAACTGGATATTCGAGAGTATTCAATCAATTATTTGGAATCTACTAAAGACTATAGGAAGTCGGAAAAACTTTTCATCCTACCTTATAGCTGCAGGAAAGAAACAGCCTCTTCTTCAACTCTTAGATGCTGGGTTACAGCAGTTATAGCAGATTCATACCGAAAGAATAATAAAACTCCACCAGCCAAGATCAGAGCTCATTCTACAAGATCTCTTTCTACAACTTGAGCGGAGGTGCCTCGAAATGATATCTGCAAGGATCCACTTGGTCTTCTCCAGGAACATTTATTAAACACAACAAGTTGGACCTGGTCTCTTCATCTACTAAATGTGGTAGATTGTTTTGTCTTCTGTTCACAGTTTCTAATAAATCACTTTTGGTACTGCAATCTTCATTGTAAAATTCCTTTTTTCTCCCACCCTTCTAAAATTAGCTTGAGTATTACCCATAAATGATGCTGCCATGATTAGTTGATTAGTCAGGAATAAGGAAAATGTAAACCATACTTACCGTAATTTTCTTTTCCTGGCTATTTATTATGGTAGCATCATGTTCCCTCCTTAGTGTTGTTGGACTTTATCATGGACTGGTGTGTGAAGGGAGGAGGGACCCTTTATACACTTGGTCTCATTTGAATTCTGTTTTCTGTCCTGTTCCAGTGCTGAGGGTGCAGCTAACTATAAATGATGCTGCCATGATAAATAGCCAGGGAAAAAAATTACGGTAAGTATGGTTTAAATTTTGCTTATTATTTAGCTGGGTGTGGTGGAAATTAGTGGGAAATTGTGGAATTTAGTAATAGGTTAGGGGTTAATAGTAAAAAAAATTGTTTTAAAAAGGTAAAAAAAATTAAAAAGTAAAAAAATTTTTTAATTAAGTTTTAAAAAATGCTTATTTCCACTACACTTGGTACAAACCAGCAAAAAGATTTAAGCCTTTTTAAATACTCTGGGGTGTCTTCTTTAAAAAATGATAGGCCTTTGTGGGGTTGTTTGAATAAACAACCTGCTAAAATACTCCTAAATCGGACATGGACCCAGTGTAAAAATTAAAAGTTTGAAAAAAAAATTAATTGCTGTGTCTCAAATATGCTCCTTCAACATCCACATTTACCTGACAATGGTACATACGTGGGTATTGCTGTACTCAGGGCCAGATTAAGAGCCCATTGGGCCTGGTGCTGACAATTATGAGGGGCCTATTTACAGAATCGTATCGACAGAAAACACTAAAACAGTCATACCTCCCACGTGTCATGTATCTGGTGGAAGTGGTGCTGAGGGAAACTCACAGGATATAGCTGTATGAAAACACATACCGTATGCTAATCTCTAGGTTTCATCTTTCAAGTAAATCCATACCTCCTAACAGCAGTGTCAGGCAGTGGCGTACTAAGGTGTGGGCGGGGGGGGCGGTCCGCCCTGGGTGCCATGGCCCACCTGGAAATTTCCCGATATCCCGGTGGGCCAGTCTGGCCCTGGCGAAGATAAAAATCATAGATATGCTGAGAATTTCAAAGATAACTTTTCAAAGACAGCTTCTTAACTTCACAACCACTCCTATAACTGATGGGGTTATGTGCTTAGTGTCTCTTTAAAGCAAACAGATTTCAAATTGTGTTACCCCCTATTTGGCACCCCCGGCAAATAGGGGGGTGCCACCAGGGCTGGCCAGGCTTGATATTCTGTGAGCTGTGTGGCTGCCATGGGTGCCATAGCAGCAGGGGCGCCAGGTAGCCGACACAGCTCACACGCAGGGGCTGAGAGCAAGCAGGTAACCTGCACGGACATTTGGGGGCGGAGACAGATTGGCCGTGGGGGCAGAGCCAAGCCTGGTGTGGGGGCGGGGCTAAATGCAGCCTCTTACTGCTGCACACAGAGGGTAAGCAGGAAGGTGTCCCTGCTTTACCAAATACAGCACAGGAGTGACTGAATCCACTCCTCCTCCAGCCCAAGCAGACTGTAAGTGAGAGAGGGTGTGTGCTGTGTGTAACTGTAATTGTGACTGTCTTTGACTGTGTGTGTGTGTGTGTGACTGTCTGCCTGTGATTGTCTGCCTGTGATTGACTGTGTGTGATTGTCTGCCAATGTATGTGTGTGTGACTGTCTGCCTGTGACTGTCTGCCTGTGATTGTCTGTGTGACTCTGTGTGTGTGATTGTCTGCCTGTGTGTGTGTGTGTGATTGTCTGCCTGCCTGTGTGTGTGTGTGTGTGATTGTCTGCCTGTGTGTGTGTGTGTGTGTGTGTGTGACTGTCTGCCTCTGTGTGTGTGTGTGTGTGTGTGTGTGTGTGACTGTCTGTGATTGTGTTGTGTGTATGTGTGACTGTCTGCCTGTGTGTGTATGTGTGACTGTCTGCCTGTTATTGTGGGTGTGTGTGTGTGTGTGTGACTGTCTGCGTGTGATTGTGTGTGTGTGTCTGTGACTGTGTTGTGTGTATGTGTGACTGTCTGCCTGTGATTGTGTGTGTGATTGTCTGTGAATCTGTGTGTATGTGTGACTGTCTGCCTGTGTGATTGCCCGCATGTTTGACTGTCTGCCTGTAACTGTATGTGAGTGACTGTGTGTGGGACTGTGTGCATCTGACTGTGTCTGACGGTCTTCGTCCTGCAGTGAGCCGGTAGCCAGGATATGATGTCATTGCGGCCTCGGCGTCATTACAGGGCGTGCGATGGACCTATGCAGGAAGAGCCCAGAGATCCCAGCAGCAACCACTGACCACCAGGGACTGAGGATCCACTCCAGCCCTTCTAGAGCAAGGTAGGGAGGCTGAGTGGACCTCTTAATTATTAAATGTGTGTATGTATGTAATGTTTGTGTATATCTGTGATTGTGTGTGTGATTGTGTGTATCTCTGTGTATGTGTTTAGTAGATAGCTCCCTTATTTGGTGTCCTTAAATATTGCAATCCCACATAAGGATAACAAATAAGGGATTTATCTACTAAACAACTGAAAATAAGAAAAGAGCTTTTTTTAAATTTTGATCCTTTAGCTGTTTAGTAGATAGTTCCCTGATTTGGTGCCCGTATGTGAGATTTCCATATTTAAAGATACCAAATGAGGGTGCTGTTTAGCAGATATCTCTTTTATTTGGTGTCCTTAAATATTGCAATCCCACGTAAGGATAACAAATAAGGGATTTATCTACTAAACAACTGAAAAAAGGGAAAAGGGCTTTTTTAATCTTGATCCTTTAGCTGTTTAGTAGATCATTCCCTGAATTGGTGCCCGTATGTGGGATTTCCATATTTGAAGATACCAAATGAGGGTGCTGTTTTGCAGATAGCACCTTATTTGGTGTCCTTAAATATGGCAATCCCACAAAGGATAGCAAATAGAGGAGTTATCTGCTAAACAAAGATTGAAATTAAGAGGTGTCAGCCAGCCCACAACAAGAAATCTGGGTGGCTAATGTGAATTATATGCAAATGTGTAGTCAGATGCCAGCATGCAGAACACAGCATGCTGGCATCAGACAGCCAATGGCAGCATATTACCCATCCCCTAGTGAGAAGTTTTACTGCTCCACCTCCCCCTCCTGTTTTGACTGTGATATCTTATGTGCCCCCATATATATATATATTGTTCCTAGAGTTGCCACGATGTCTGCATGTGTGTCAATGTGTATCTGTGTGTGTATCTGTATATGTAATTTAAAGCCCATTTTGGCCTTTTAAAAAAAGGTATATAATTTGTGTTGGTGCAATAAATAAGAAAAATGCACTTTGCAAATGAACACAAACAGCAAAAAATGCAAAAATTGCTTGTGTCCTTAATGCTATGTCCAGCTTCTGAAGCCGTGTCTTGAAGGGGTTAAAATCCAGATCCTTCCTTGAAGTTTCAAAGCTCTTATAAGTACACACCCCTCATACTAGCCCCCTCCACACTACTCATAACCTCTGACCCTACACCATTCATATCAAATACTCCCTCCCATGTTCACAAGACATGTTCTCTATGTCTCTGGCTCAATGCCATCTGACCTAAGACACCATCCCTCATATATATTCTTTAAAAAGTCAGACTTCCTAACCCCAGCACTCGCAGCCTCCTAGTACCCTATTCCAGCTCACGCACCTCTTTCGCCATTTTCTTTGCCACACACTTTACATCTACCTTATATCTAACCCGTCCCTTTCCAATTAGATTGTAGGTGCACAAACAGAGCTCTTTTACCATGTAACTGACATGCCCTACTATCTAATAATATTAACAATAATAAATAAAGAAAACAAAGTTTGGCAGAATCCCGAATGTTACTAAGCAATATTTTAACTGCGTTCGTTTATCTCAAAGTGCATCGCTGCCTGTTAAACATCTTTATTCTCGCTAGGAATATAAGGTGTCTCAGAATGCACCTGGTTGTTCAAAATGTTCTTGGAATTCTCGGTTGGAGACTTTGTAACCTGGTACTGGTACTCCACAAATGCTACATCTCAGACTTTGCTTATCTCTTGCTGTCACTGAAATATGTACTGCTCATCCTCAACATTCCAGAGTGCTGCCATTCTTTCAATATGGGGGCAACAGTGTTATCACAAAGGCATAAACACGATTAAGATAAGCTGCCTTTGGCTTTCCAAAGTAGAAACACCTTGCTTTCAATTTATGAATGACTCACAATGAGCAAGTGTTTTGTAATGTGTATATTTAAACATTGTAGACTTCAAACATTTTTTTTCAACTTTTAGAGAGACAATTAAAAAATATTTTAATATTTCTGTTTATTTTAAACATGAATGCTCAGCAACGTATTCATCTCGTTGTTTTCTATCCCTTACTAATGGTTAGATTTCCGTATGAGAGATAAATAAATATCTGATAATTGAATATGAATTTTCCCATTGATGTCAATGAGAGAGTGGACATTCAGTTACTGGAGTTAAATTAATGCCAGTGCAATTGAATCCAGTTCTTAATGATAAGGCACAGATAACCCTTTGATCTACTGTGCTTTTGTGACTTTTTTATGTGTGACCTAAGGACTTCTCACAGTAAGTTACTTGAGCAATGGCTCACCTCTCAGAGTTGCCTTATGTTTAAACTCTATCAGAGTTATGAGCAGCCAGACAAGATTATTTTCTAAAGTCTGAATAGCCCTGTACCGAATGGAATTGAATAACTCTGTAAGAGACTGAAAATCCAGACATTGGTCATGCTATTTAACATTGCCCACCTTTTGCATGTAGGCTTCGATTGAGCCTGAATTTGATCTCAGTTGGACCAAACACTACCGGACAGCTGAAATCCAGATACGGATTGTTAAAATCTGGGCCTGTTGCCGCAAATTGGACCTGGCTTTTAAAAATTTAAAACTATTTGCTCACTGGCAGCTCTAGCAAGTGCTTGCTGGCCAAACATCAAATTAAAAGGAAATTCCACTGCCCAAATACAAAGAAACACTGTTTAGTAGATTTGCCCAAAATGAAAACATTCATGTGTTCATTGGAAGTACATCTAAAAACAGCAAAAGCTACAGATCTCTTGTGTAGCCTGACAGAATGTACTTTAATGGAGACGGTTAGGGGTGGACAATGGCACAAATTTGGGAGGAGAATAATGTAAATTTTTATAAATAGAGCCCCCACCTCCTGCACATAGGTGGGGGTTGGCGGGAGGACACTAGCTCCCTCCTTCAATTAATATGAGAATCGTCACCAGCTGCCCATGGGTAAGGGCTTAAGGCAAACAAAATCGCAGCCCTTCTATTAGGATTAGAAATAGAACCTATGGGTGGGGAGAGGCGGAGGGACAATAGTTATATTTTTATTATTATTACAGTCTAGAACCAGTGGGTGTTTTAGGATTCCAGGTGGGCGGTAACAGAATCCTCCCTCCATCCAGAGAGATGAACGCTCTATTCATCTCTCGGGCACTCAGTGGTAAGCAGGAAGTGCGAGGTTGCAGATGTGAGTGCATGAAAGCGTGAGCGTGTGTGCCTGAACGCGCATGTGCGCCCTTATCGCGTATGACTGCGTCCGCTCATGAGCGAGTGTAACGCGCGGGTAGAGGAAGGGGAGGAGTTGGAGTAGGTATGGAAATACACAATAGCAGGGAGTGGAGTACTTGGAAAATAGGAGAAAGAAGGAGCAGAGTACTTGTAAAAAAAGGAGAAAAAGGGAGCAGAGTATTTGTAGAATAGGAGAAAGAAGGAGCAGAGTACTTGTAAAAAGAAGAAAGAAGGAGCAGAGTACTTGTAGAATAGGAGAAAGAAGGAGCAGAGTACTTGTAAAAAAGGAGAAAAAGGGAGCAGAGTATTTGTAGAATAGGAGAAAGAAGGAGCAGAGTACTTGTAAAAAGAAGAAAGAAGGAGCAGAGTACTTGTAGAATAGGAGAAAGAAGGAGCAGAGTACTTGTAAGAAAAGGAGAAAGAAGAAAAATAAAAAAATAAAAAGGAAAAGGAGAGAATTGTTGTTGGCTAATAAGTGAGCTACCTAGATCAGCCTTCCTGATGGGCATTGCTATAAGAAGGTAAAAAAATAGAAAAAAGGAAAAAGGGACGGGGGATTGAGGAGGGAGAGGAGGGGAGCTGATACACGGATGAGAAATCATATTATGAGCAAACAGAGAAATCGTCTGAATATCACCAAAAGAGGAGACCTTTGTTTGTTCCTTACGTAAATCTAGCCAGATATCAAATATTTAGTCTTGCAGCATCAACCTCAAGGATCTCATTAATCACTAGTAAAGGTAATTTCAATTTACTTTATTGTTTTCTCATTAAACTTTAAAAAGTTAAAAACATTATAAACATGCATAAAGTAGAAATAAAAAGATAAATGTACGTACATTCATTTATTTTTTTAAAACACCCTCCTTTCTAAAAAATATTCTGTACTTGCACGTAAACTGGTGGGCGGTAAGGAAATATTTCCATCAAGAAAGATGCATTAGTGGGCGGTAGGAAGAATAAGGTTGACTACCCCTGGTCTAGATGATATTCTAATATCTCCCACCTGACACCCGTGTTGTGGGCTGGGTGTGACTCCTGATCCCCGCTGTTTAGTAAGTAGCCCTCACCCACTGACCATGGGTGGAGGCAGAGTGTAGACATTAGGATGTGCCATGCTTTATTCTTAATTGCTCCCATCCACTGGCCACAGGTGAAAGCAGTGGGGTGGACAGTGATCTGCTTACCTCTCATTTGCAAGTTTAAACTCCCCCACCTGAGGTCAACAGATGGAGCATAGGATGGAGTATACCCCTGTTATTTTACAGGACTGCTGTCTAGTCACAAGTTTCAAATGTTTCGAAGATATGCCCCCACCTGCTACATGACAGGTATGGGCAAAGGGAAGTTAAAAACCTCCCTTATAGTAATATGAGAGTCAGCCAGCGAGAAAATAGTACTTGAAATGTTCATTCAATAATTTGTGCATCCAGCCAGATGTATTCGAATTTTAAATTCTATACCTAGTAAAGGGTTCGGATATGAAAAACACTGATTTTAATACAGACATTGAATGCATCTGGGCAAATGTTGCAGATTCGCTCGGACTGACTGAATTCTGACCAGATTTGGCTTTTGTAAATATGAGAACCGCCTTTGCGGTCGTAATTTAACCAAAGAATTTCAATGACTTGATCTCTGTTCACGGCAGAGCCCTCTTTACTTTTTTTATTGGTCTGTGTTGTACTGTATTTTTCCCCCAGTTGTACAGCACAGCTGAATAGGTTGGCTCTTTATAAATGCCAGTAATAATAATAATAATTTAGGGCCCTACTGGTGCTTGTATATGCCAGTCTGAAACAGCTATCTGGTTAAAGATGAAGACTATAAGTTATTTTTGTTAACGATGCTTACCACTAAATTAAACATTTTTTGTTTCATTTTTGACGTTTGTATTGAAAGTTCCAGCTGGTAATTAAAAAAAAAAGTGTGGCTACCTTTTAGTTTGTTTGAAGAATAGAAAGTGTTCTCTTGATAGATAATAATATTTACAAAAAACACTTCCCTTTTTATTAAAAAACAAATCCCTAAGAGTACACCATAATAAACTGACAGACATTCGTCTGTTGGGCATATACTTGTGAAAATTGCTGAATGGTGACACAAAGCAACCCTATGAGACCCCAGCTTCTAACTGTAGCTGTTCCGAAGGGGTAACTATTTCAACGTTGAATGAAGCATGATTTGCTGATATCCTCTTTGACACTGAAAGTGAAAGTAAAATATGTTAAAAGTAATACATGCTGGTATCTGAAATGACTAAAACCAGTGGGGTCTATCAAACCAAGTATAACCCAACATATGGCGTCCCCCTTTCCTCCATGTATGGAGGGTAGAGGGAAGATACATTGGCTAGGGGTCCAATGAGTTGCCCTAACCCATCCTCCACCCCATCAGTTTGTGGGTGAGGGTAGTAATAATACTCGGACAGAGAATATTGAGTTATCTAGCCTCATTTAAAATAAATGGGAGGCGAATTTGTAAAACGCACAATACAAAATACAAAACATAAAAATATAAAATAAAAAGAACACTCGAGATCCTGCATCTGCTGCAAATCTCAACACAATAAAGGATCTGAGCTCTCACCGAAATGAGAAGTGTCTGGAAGTTCAATCAAATTACTAAACATTACTGAGATCATCTCATAAGCAGTGCATTACAACCAGAGCAAGGGTTTCTGGGAGTTGTAGTTCAATGATTAAACTTGTTTGAGCAGGGTACTCTTCAACCTATCGTTCCTGTAAGTTTTCTTGTAATTGTCCTGTAGCGGCTACCTCCGCTAAGTTTCCCACCCCAGATGACAGGGGTCTTCATTCCAGGATCCTCTGTGCCTCGGAGCCCGGGCAGGGAAAAGGGGACCTAGTGTCTTTGTCTCCTAGGCACAGAAAGTCCGTCAAACTAGACAGTGCTCCAAAAGTGTCCCCACCAACCTTATGAACCCACACACCATACATTTCCCCGACTGGTCTCCGTTCGTGCGGCTCTTATGCGAACCGCCTGCAAGGGAAGTGTCTCCTTTCGTGATACGAATGCTCCCCCTGGTTGCCGTTTGTCTATACAAAATGGCGGCCACCCAGAGGAGCACTCATTAATAACTTCCCTTGCGGTTTCGCACTTATGTTACGGGTGTGAACGTTCTAATTAATTGGGTGTGAACATTTTAATGGGGCACCGGAGTGGCCCTCATTCGGGAGATAAATGGGCTCTGTTCGTATGGACGCTCCCGAATGGGAAAACAAGGCAGAGTACACGAAATACACAGGGAAACATACAATACACGGGGAAACATGGCAGGGGTTCTGCCACATTTCCTATTTATAGTTAAACCCACCTCTAATAATATTGTAAAGCGCAACGGCATCTGTTGGCACTATATAAATGGCAATAATAATAATAATGATTAGCTTTTTACTGAAGAAAAAAAATTTAAACAAAATAATCAAATATTGCAGGCCGAGAGACAGGAGCAGAAAAGGTGGGCTTATGGGACAAAATTAATTATTACATTCTAAAAAAATAAAGATTCATTTAAAAAAAAAAAATCGCTCAGAAATATGTATAACCTAACCCATATTGCAACTAATGTGTGAAAACCTGGAGAGCCCCTTTAATCAGCTTAGTTTTCTCAGTGACAGGCTATTTGGAGCTAATTAAAGGTGTAGGAGTGAAAACAGCCTCATACTCCCCTCTAAAAGGAGAATGTTGCTTGAATGTGCTTGCCTAAATTACAACATGATACACCATCTAAACACACCATCAAGTCAAATAAATTAACCTGTGGAAGATAGGTCTCAATAATGTCAGCAAATAAAAATGCATTGTAATAAATCGCAGTAACTCCCTGGCTTTTAGAAGACAAATACACACATTCCCATCATTATCTGCAGAAACTAATCTCTAGATCAGGCATAGGCAACCTTCGGCACTGCAGATGTTTTGGATTATACCTCCCATGATGCTTTGCCAGCATTATGGGTGTAAGAGCATTATGGGGGATGTAGTCCACAACATCTGGAGTACCGAAGGTTGCCTACCCCTGCTCTAGATTAATGTATCAGGGACTATATTTGAATTGCTTCCAGTAGAAGTTAAAACATAATTACCTTTTTAAGATAAGGAAATGCTGTCTGATCAATTAGTCTCTTCCAACGTGGCGTATATTAATGGGTGATGTCACTTCCTGTAATTTTTTAATAATTTGTTTACTAAACCCTGTGTTTAACAACTATGCACATCTAAGGTGTGAATAATAAAATTCAATGTAAAAAAAATCTCACTTATTTATCTTGAAACTGGACGCCTCCATCTTGGCTCCCTTTTGATCATTGTTATAAGCTCTGTCCTTTGTATCAGGTAGTCAGCATTGAGAAGAAGAGAAATTAAACAATCTTTCTATTTATCCTCCTCTCCTAATGTTTTATTCTCCTGGCTTTGCCTTATCTGATTTGGATTGTGTTGTCCTAAATCGTTTTCTATTTTTTGTGTAATATATGAAATGTCTTGTCACTAAGTTGAGCTAGTTTTCGGTGATGCACAATTGGCAGACGGATAACGTTCTCACTGATTTTTTGGTTTATACGAGATAGTGTTCATTTGCCTAATGGATGAGTCCTACAAATGCCTACTGTATATCTGTGTAAGTGCAGCATTGAGGTGTTACAGAGAGCAAGCCCAACATTATAGAGGCATTACCTGTGTCAATATCGCCTCGATTTAAAGGGAACGATTTAACACTGAATAGAGGGGCAGAGCCAGGGGACTCCAGGCACCATAACCAATTCAACAAGATGAACTGATCATATTGCCTACAGTGTGACTTTAATGACAATTTAAATGCTTATCGGTAATTGTGCCATTGCCGCTTCCTTTTAGAGCAGGAAGTTCAAGACAGAGTGTGGGGTAGGGAGGAAACAAGAAGTGAGAACTAACGGGCAGGTTGCGAAACAGGCTTGTAGGAACAAAAATCTATTGTCTTCATTTTTTTGTTTCCTTTTATTCTTGAAATTAAAAATTAAAATTCAATAAATAAAGAAATATAGCATTTTTGTTCCCACCAGGTCCAGTGAAAAATTTTACATTATTAAGTTGAGACTTAGTTGCAGTTTAACTCTTAGACCATTTCATATCTCTAATTCTCAAGAGTTCTTTTAGAGACAACCAAAAAAGGAAGTGTGCTTCAACAAAGTGTTTTCTTTATCCTGTCCCAGTATGCCCTTATCAAAAACTAATAATGATAAGAGACAAAAAAACAAAGACGCCGACCAATAATTTCAAAGCACAGATGCTAGTCTGGCTCATACTGTAGCCCAAGAATTTTAGGAGTGCCTACCAAATGTTTTATTAAGATTTTTTTTAAACACCATAGGCAATCATTTCTTTTAAATATATTACATGTCAAGTAAAGATAGCATATAATATCTGAACTTGTTTTAAAGTGACACTTTAGGCACCAACACCACACCATCTCATTGAAGTGGTGTGGGTACAGTATCCCTGTCCCTCTTAGCACTGTAATGTAAAACGTTTACAATGTTTAAAATGTTAACATTGCAGTGCTAAGACTGGTTCTACTGGCTGTCTACCAGATGTATATATATTCCTAACAATAAAGTGTTCCTTTAAGCTCAAAGTAGATTAGTGAACACAACTGTATGCGACCAAATAGATTACGAAATAGAGCAAAATGGGACATTCGTTGGCAACTTTTTTGTTGAAAGTGCTAGATTTCCTCGCTTTGTTTTTTTTCGGGGAAACTAAGAAAATGTCTATCAAATTAATTTTTTTCTGATGATTTGTTCTAAATTCAGTCCTGTCGACGGATTGTCACGTACACCAAAAATGAAGGGGTCTATTCACTGAACAGTGAGTTTGAAAAAAGAACTTGCACATTTAAGGATAAAATAACAGACTTGGAATAGAATCTCCAGCACAACCCAAGTCTCAACTGAAGCATAATTTGCTATTCGGGGAATAAAACACTTAATTAAACATCACAAAGGCCCCAGATATTTGTCTCCCAAAACATTACTAAATCTTGGATTTATCATTCTATTTGTAGTGCTTTTTTTTTTTTTATTTAAATTCAAGTATTCCTCTATCTCTTGTACCTACTTGCACAATATACATATTGCAGAAACTACAGTGGATTTCGAAGTGGAGAAAAAAAAATGTTTTCTTAATATTCTTGAAAATATAATTTTTTGAGATTTTTAAATTAGAAAAAAAAATCTTGTAAAAATTAACAATGGAAGTAAATTGCCAGTACATATAAAATCTATTAAGTACTATAGAGGATTGTTCACAGAATAATGTATAATTTATTTTCATTAAAACGTCCTGGCTTGTGCATATCCTCCCTAGTAATTAAGGGAAACAAATACCTCCCACCACATACCAAAACCACTAGTGTCTGGTGAGATAAGACAGTCAGCAGGTTTCATAGAAGAACATTTAGCACAGAAACCAAAAAAAGTACTAACAAGACATTACAGAGAAGCAAGAAAAGAGACTTTCTATCCAGGTAAAATAACAGCAGCGAATGTGGTTTTATTTAAGAATTTATTAATACAAATGTATTTGTACAATATTATCGTATTAATGTACTATATAAAGTGTGTGTATGAATCAGATATGTAAAATAAGAGTTCATAGAGATGATGAGTTTTAAGTGGATTTACAATGCAATTTTTTTTTATATTTTAAATATTATTAGTATTTGCATTATTATTTTAGATATTTTTGTGATGCTTTTTTCCACTATGCTAGATGAATAAATATGTGATTTTTTTGGGGGGGGTACTTTTAATGAATTGTGCTCCTGCATTTTTTTTTTAAGTAAGAATCTAATTATGTTTTTTTTGTTTTGTTTTGTTTTTTATTAATGTCTTATGGTCTGTTGGTAAAGACGTGCATAATGTTTTTCAGCTACAAGTATCATGCTCAGTACGTGGCTGGCTTAGGATGATATGAATTGTAGTCTAAAATGCCTAAAAAGTCTGTGGTTTGGTTATAGTAATCTTGGAGCTGACAATTCATGTTAAAGTTGATAATGTAACGTTAATGTCTAACAGAGTGCTTGAGGTGAGCTGGGGATTGTAACTCGTGAAAAAAAAAATTATGCAGTATAGAAAAAGATGCATCAATTGGAGTTAGAAAATAAAACTTCATGTACTGGTTAGAGTTAAATATAATTGTTTAAAATTGTTATAAATAGTTGTTCAGTTTTCAATATACTATGGTTTTGTAAACAAATCTAGCTGTTCTTTTCATGTCTATAAGACACTGGGGTTCTTTAACTTAACACTGAATTGCAATGAATTGAAAACTAAAATACATATTGGATAAAATAGTCAGGCTGTGACTGTAGGTAAGTTGCACAATTTTATCAAATCAGTCCTTTTTTGTCTAACGGTCTGTAATTTGGATTTCAATTCTTTATAGTTTGATGTTTCGTAAATATAACTCATATCACTCCTTTCCGGTAGGCGGTAGCCAAAGAGTTAAGTTAAAAAAGTCTTAGAATAGCATTTGTTAGTGCAGTGTAATTTGATGTTCTGCAGGTTGTATTGCTGCAATCAGATCTTCAATGGTTCATTGTTTATAGCATCCATTCTTAGCTGGTATATAACTCGTAACATGAGGTACACAGTATGCATGAGACAAAGTTACTCTGTGCTAAAGGTGATTCACTTATTTTTGAGCTGAGTTTTAAGCTTTAGGTCAAAAGAGACAAGTACGAAACTAGCCAAGTATTTGGATTTTTTTTGTATTGGCTCATTTCTCAATATTTCACAATTTAGAGGATAAACGCCAAAATATTTACATGAGAAAATGGTATTTTTATCCTGAATTTAGGCATCATGACTCACAGTCCTGCAAATGATCACAGAAACACAGAGCTGTTATATGAATATGTTGATAAGAAGCAGAGACTCTGTATACACACGCTCAGATAATTTCACACTGACAAATGGCAAGTTTTGAAAGGTACACTGGCCAGCCACAACATTAAAACCGCCTGCCTAATATTGTGTAGGCCCCCTTCGTGCTGCAAAAATAGCTCTGATGTGTTGAGGCATGGATTTCACAAGGCCTCTAAACGTGTCCTGGTTGCTGGACTTAAATGATCTGCTGCTATTATCTGGCACCAAAACATTAGCAGCAGATATTTTAAGTCCTACAAGTTGTGAGGTGGGCCCACCATATTTGTTGTACCAGCACATCCCACAGATGCTCAGTTGGATTGAGATCTGGGCAATTTGGAGGCCAAGGCAACACCTTGATCTCATTGTCATGTTCCTCAAAGCATTCCTGAACCATTTATTTCAGTGTGACAGGGTGCATTATCCTGCTGAAAGAGTCCACTACCACCAGGAAACATTATTGCCATGAATGGTTGCAAGTAGTCTACAACAATTTCTAGGTAGGTGGTACATGTCAGAGTAACATCCACATAAATGCCAAAACCCCAGGTTTCTTAGTAGAACAATGCCCAGAGCATAACACTGCCTCCACCGACTTCTCTTCTTCAGAAACGTAATCCTGCTGCCATCTCTTCCCTCTGTAAATGATGTACACCACGTGCATCAATGAGCCTTGGGCATCCATTGCCTTGATGCTGGATCACCGCTTGTCCTTACTTGCACCACTTCAGGTAGTTACTAACTACTGCATACCAGGAACACTCCACACTGACCCAGTTGTTTAGCTATCACTATTTGGCCCTTTTCAAAGTCACTCAGATCTATTTGATTGTTCATGAAATTCAAGATCTGACTGTTCACTTGCTGCATAATATATCCAATCTCTTGACTGGTGCCATTGTAACACTATAATCAACAGTGGTCTAAAGGTTGTGGCTGATCAGTGTATAAACTTTAGATGTAAAGGTGCTTATACACTGAATCTGAATTTTCCAGATTTTACAAAGATGCCCCCTGGAATGTTAATGATTTTACAAAGATGCCCCCTGGAATGTTAATGATTTAATTACAGTGTAATTCACTATACTGTGATTTTTCTTCTTAAATTATTAACCAGGCAATTTCAAATTTAGAGTCAAAATAACAAAAATGGAAAAATTCCCTCTTCAGTTATTTTACCACCTTGGCTAATTTGGTCAAAGGTTCACCCCTGCCAAATAAGTTTTGGAATTGTAGTGTAGAAAGTTCCAGTGTCCAAAATCAGTAAATAAATGGGAGATTAAATTAAATTAAGACCCTCCCAATGTTTGGTGTGTGAAGCAATATCAGAGGAATGGCTATGCATTGTGTGATAATAAGGAACAGGGTTGACCTGCTACTGGAAATGTTAAAATGTAATTTTAAATATTTTAGTTTGCGGGGGAAGTTCTGCTCATAAAAACCAAAACGCATACAAACATTGAAAATTTCTTTGTTAATATTGTCCTTTTTTTAGAGGCAAGTCATGTTATTAAACATGATACATCACAGAAGACTTCTGTTGTTGCTATTTGTGAGCCTGAATGACGTGGCAGACCTGTCGAAACCCACCGCCCAAACAGTGACTCAAGGAATTACCCTGTTTACATTAACAAACTTGAAAGACTATAACAACATCACCCAAAGTCCCTGTCAAGAACTTTGTGTCAAGCCATGTGATCTCTTGACTCTGACCAAAAAAGGTCTGGATTGGTTTCCTGCATGCGTACCTGGAGAAGTCAAGCACTTAGATTTGAGCTTCAACAATCTTACTTTAATCAAGGACGAAGACATTTCTCATCTGTCCGAGTTACAAAGCTTGGATCTGAAGCACAATCAAATAAGAGACATTCAGTGGGGGGGAAATGTACTGTCTAATCTTAAGTCCCTGGACCTTAGTAACAATCTTTTATCCGTTGTTCCAAAGTGCATTATGCTGAAGAAAGTAACCTGGTTGTCTCTTGCACAAAACCCAATCAAAGAAATCCAACCCTACGCTTTCCAATGTTTTCCAAATTTGGAATATCTTAATTTATCGTTCACTCGGCTTGGGAGTAACACTTCGGAAGGCATCAGTCAGTCAGGGTTTGCCCTGAATGTAACTCAGGCCCAAGAAAGTTCATTAAGGTTTCTTGACACACTTGACTTAAGTGGGACATTTCTCACTGGAGGTATGTAATTGTGGTAAATGGACCTATAATAGTATTAATAGTAAAAGTAAACAAACAAGTAAGTAAATATGTTCATGTTTTTAAAGGGACATGCATCACATGACAATTATTTTTAAACCAGCAAACAAACATTTTTAAACAAATATGCAAACTGAATATAGCAAGATAAACTTTTAAAAGTCTGTAATGATGATTTATAAACTTAGTCAGATTGCAGTGCTGGGCAAGCCTTTCAGCTAGGGGAGTTTCTTCAGTCACCCACCTATGCGACCAATTACCGCATCTCCTCAAGCTCACTGTCTTGGTGTTACTTTCAACTTGGTCTTATCTTTTCTCCTCACATCCATTTTGTCTTCAAGTCCTGTGGTTTCCACCTTAAAAATATTTTCCACATTCACTCTTTTCTAAGTCTACATACAACTAAGGCATTTGTTCATACAGTGATCATTTCCTAACGTGACCAACTCACTACTCATCAGCCATCCAAATACCCTCATTGCCCTGCCCCTTTTCGGTCTGTAATGACTGCTGCAGTCTGGCTGACTGCTACTCCCACACCTCATCCCTTTGCTAGTCATTACATTACCTTTCTGCTCCCTTTAGGATCCAGTTCTGTGTTCCGTAGCCCAGCTCTCCTTCCATTGTACTGTTCTTCCGTACACCATTTGTAGTAACTGATTTTGATACAGACATCTTATCCGGAGCCATTTTAAGGTTGCCCGGGGCCCTAGGCAGGTTTCTAAATCGGGACCCTCTGACAGAGCCCTGGGGTTAGTTTACAGGAGTGTGTGTGTGTGTGTGTGTGCATTTCTGAGTGTGCATTTTTGAGTGTGCCTGTGTCTCTGACATTGTATACATGTGTATTTGCCAGAGCATTATTGTGTGTGAATGTGTTTTTGTCGGTGTAAATGTATATGTCTGTGTCTGGGAGCATATTTGTGTGTGTGGTAGTTGTATGCATTGTGTTGTGCTGCACTAGGCATGATGGAACTGGGGCACCCCGTAATTTAAATTTGCCCCACCCTTCCAGTCAAGGCCACTCTTCCTGTTAAAGACTAACACACACTTTGACTGACTTACACACACCGACACACCCACTCACTGACTGGCACACACAGATTGACATACTCACTGATTGGACACAATCTGACAGACACGCACACTCACTGATTGGACACAATCTGACAGACACACACACTCACTGATTGGACACAATCTGACAGACACACACACTCACTGATTTGACACAATCTGACAGACTCACACAATCACTGATTTATCACAATCTGACAGACACACAAACTAACTTATTTGACACAATCTGACAGACACACACACTCACTGATTGGACACAATCTGACAGACACACACACTCACTGATTTAATACAATCTGACAGACCCACAAAATCACTGATTTAACACAATCTGACAGACCCACAAAATCACTAATTTGACACAATCTGACAGACACACACACTCACTGATATCAACTTGACACAATCTGACAAATCCACACAATCACTGATTTGACACAATCTGACAGACACACACAATCACTGATTTGACACAATCTGACAGACACACAATCACTTACACGCACACACTCACTGACAGACACACACACACGTTCATTGAGAAACACTGCCAAACATACACACACATTCACTGACAGACACACACAAACTTACTGACAGACACACACATTCACTGACAGACACATTCACTCAGACACACTGACAGATATAAACATGCACTCACTGACACACACACACTGACAGACACACAAAAATTTTCCCTCAATATTTACAAATTATTTTAAATTTAATTTAAATCCACCCAGTTTCCTCTACATTTGGGAGAGCTGGGTGGATTTTTACCTGGGATCCAGTGGGGCTGCTGGGCTGGCCACAGGGCTGGCAACTTTGCATAAAAGCAGGAGGAAGGGAGGGCAGGCAGGGGGACGTGTGTGTGTGCGCAAAATAGGTGGCGAGGGAGCTGTGATCTTCCTGCTCAGCTTCCTTGCATGCCGCTTAGTGATGCCACGCGCCGGAGTGATGTCATATTCCTGTAATGCAAACTGGCTGGTCGGCCACCCCAGGGGGGGCTCAAGGATGGTCAGCCAACCAGCTCTTGGGCCCCCATAAAACAAGGCTAACAAGGGATTTTCCGGGGCATTTGGGGGGCAGAGTTTTTTGACACCACTTGAAAGTGCCTCCCAAGACAAATTCCTTGTTAGTCTTGCAGTAAATACACTGCTGGTGTTGTGTGTAATGGGTCAGCTAGTTGTTTTTGCATGTTGTTTTGTGGGACTGCGTATGACGATGTGATAAGGCAAGTAGGGGGTTTACTGTAGCAGGGTTAGGGGTGTAAGTGTGACAGAGTGAGTGGTTAAGTGTGAAAGGGTAAGTGTGGTGAGTGTGAATGTGTTTGGGGTGAGTGTGACAGGCGGTGAGTGTGAAATCTATTCAAGCAGATAGATTTTGATTTTGCTAATGTATCTATTTTTACACATTCTAGTCAATCAAGATTGGAATAGAGACTTGCCAAACCTGAGGAATCTTTCCATTAGAGCTATGAAGGAGTTAAAAAGTTTGGATGGTCTGGTAGACGCGTTTCCCCATATTGTACAACTGGACTGCGCCAATTCCAGCTCTCTAAGCTCTATTAACACCACGATGTTTGAAAGAGCAACGGACCTGCATTACATTAATCTCCAAAAGTAAGTCAACATGTCTTGTTACATCGATAGACACAGCCGGCTGTCTTTCCATCTCCCATGCCATAAAATATTCTTGTTTTATAATAATATGTGTATTTTATAACATAAAAATAAAATATTGAAAGCTGAAATTTATTTCTGCAAAATGTATAAAGTAGGTGTGATTAACATGTTGGGGTACAAACTGGTAAAAGCTGATACTAGCGCTAGTTTATGAGTTATGAAAGAGAGGGCATAACATGTTTTAAAAATGCCACAGCAGCCTTTGGGGACTCTATATGCACCATAACAATTGATGATCATTATATAGGATGTGCGGTAAGTGAATGTCTGTCGCTCATTTGCTTAAAACCACATAAATTAGCCCACAAAATGATATGTCACGGGTCTAAATATGTAATTGCAATCCAAGCAAGCCTCAACCTCAATTAAAAGCCTCCAATATATCTTATATGACAGTACTCAATACAAAGTAGCAACAATGGTGTCTGCTTTAAGTTTGGGGAGTAGTTTAATTCATGTCTTTTCATGAATGAAACGATTGCTAGTGCTGAACGTTATGTCTTGTAAACCCTAGCTGAGCAGAGGTTAGTGAGATATGTTTCACACTCCCAGTGAAATATTGGGGGTTCTTGATTGGTTGACATGTTCGTAGCTAATTCCTTGTCTGGATAGAGGTCACTGCAGTAGCTCTAAATCATCTCACCTAATGTGTGCCAAGAAAAACACCATTACACTACCAGTCTGAATCATTGGCACACGGTGGGTTGAATCTATAAATATAAACAAAGGGGTAAGTCTATACTGTATCAAATACTAGTATAGACTAAAGGGGTGGCACAACAAACATGAACCATACAACCTGTATACACTATAACACAGTTCTTCAAAGAATCTAAAACATGAAAAAAATCACATAATAGTGAAGTATGTACAGGAATATATGATTCAGTCCCGTAGATAGAGAACTTACAAGACCGTGCTGTAGATCTGCGCTTGTCTCCCTTCCATAGGGTATTAAAGTAGCGTACTCTTTCTCAGTGGGCTTGTGTGTATGGACCAAAAAGGCGTAGATTCAGAACACCCAATCCTCAAATAAAAAGAGGTATATAGAGCAGTATTGCAAACAAAGATAGATTTATTAATACAAATTGCACTTACATCAAGTGAAGATTATAGCAGCATATCACCACTCACAAGTGGTACCGAGGAAAAGAAGTCCCTCTGTGATAATATAAAAATATAAAATAAAAATAAAAAATAAAAAATAAAAATAAAAATATAACTCTTTTGGTATCCATGATACTTACATATATATATATATATACTTTTAATTTAATTTTATTATTATTATTATTATTTTTATTTTTATTTTTATATTTATTTTTATTTTTATTTTTATTTTTTATTTTTATTTTATTTTTACATTCATTATATTTCTTTATATTTCTTTGCAGTATATATTTCTTTGTAGATTATTTTTTATATTTTATATTTTTCATTTTTTATACTATATTGTGTTGGGTAAAGTTTAGAGACAGCTTTCCAGCTTGGGACGCCCGGTTCTCCTTACAGCCGATCGGCTGTCGGGTCTTCCGTGCGTTCCACGGTGGAACGCGGAAGTACCGCTTAGGATATTGTATCATGTGTTATGGACGTTTTGCGTTCCAGTATGGAACGCGGAAGTGAGATCTTGTTCTACATCCGTCCGAGAGGGTTATTTTGTTCAACCAATCAGAATGAGGCAAGACCGAAACCCGGAAGTAAAGGTTTTTCCGCGGCAATTTCAAGATCTTTTTGGAGCCTTATAAAAGAAGGACTTTCTGGACACTTTCTTATCCCTGAAGAAGTCTACATAGACGAAACGCGTTGGATATTGATCAGGAATACCTTTTTTCTTCTTTTTTGTTATTTTATTGTTTTTAGTATACAATTATTTTTTATATTTTTATATTATCACAGAGGGACTTCTTTTCCTCGGTACCACTTGTGAGTGGTGATATGCTGCTATAATCTTCACTTGATGTAAGTGCAATTTGTATTAATAAATCTATCTTTGTTTGCAATACTGCTCTATATACCTCTTTTTATTTGAGGATTGGGTGTTCTGAATCTACGCCTTTTTGGTCCATACACACAAGCCCACTGAGAAAGAATACGCTACTTTAATACCCTATGGAAGGGAGACAAGCGCAGATCTACAGCACGGTCTTGTAAGTTCTCTATCTACGGGACTGAATCATATATTCCTGTACATACTTCACTATTATGTGATTTTTTTTCATGTTTTAGATTCTTTGAAGAACTGTGTTATAGTGTATACAGGTTGTATGGTTCATGTTTGTTGTGCCACCCCTTTAGTCTATACTAGTATTTGATACAGTATAGACTTACCCCTTTGTTTATATTGTATTGGTGTATGTGAGGTACACTTCTGGGTGTTTTGGCACTGTTTTGTGGTTTTTGCTTGGGATATTATATAGTGCCTCTTTCTTTTTTCTGTTTATTGAATCTATAAATATGATTCCATTGTATCTCATCTACTTTATATGTTAAAACAAACACAGCCAGAATCTCAACCAAGATCCACATTGGTACAAATGCTTCAAATGTCCTCCCTAAAATGCTGAGTAGACTAAATGTAATATCCTGGATGAAGCAGTAAATAAATGGAAAGAGGAGGGATGTGAAAATGAACTAGGAAAGGTAAAACATTGTAATAAAGTAAGAAGACATTATGATAGGAAGACCTGCGTTGATCATGCATGGGGACTTTTACACGTGCTAGGGCCATTTCCCTCTTATTTGGAGTCACAACATGCCGTAATGGTATGACTTACAAGTAAGATTTTACTATACTTAGGGAGGGGGGCAGGGGGGTTAGGGGGGCAAAGGGAAAGGAGGGGGGCTAGATGGTGATTTTAACACTATAGGGTCAGGAATACATGTTTGTGTTCCTGACCCTATAGTGATCCTTTAACCTCAGACTAAGGGGTTGTATTGTTCCTGCATTAGTATTGATGCTACTCAAGTCTCCATAATGAGTTGTGTCATTCTTGCCTTATGATGGGACTCATCCCATATGTCACTTGTGTCCTTCTCAGGTCATTATTGATGTGAAACTAGTATCCAGCCATTCCTGTCTCTCCTGTGATGATAAAAAACAATCATTCCAAGCCTAGGGCTATTTAAACCCCTCCTGCCATCGTCTTGTTGCCATGTTACGGTTCTTCTTAACCAAATAGCTTGTTCTTTGCAGTTGTGTTGGTTCTAACCTAGACTTGTTTATAGATTGAGGAAAAGGAGAGTGGGAAGAAACCACCCAGTACATATAAAATTCAATTAAATACAACCTGGGAAATAGACCAGGATGATACAATCAATATGAACCTGTAATAGGAATAAACACTACATAGCGTAATACAGTAATAATAAAGTGAAATTTGTGTTGTTTGGTATTAAACTCACAAACATGAGAGAAAGCAGCCTTCTCACCCCACCCGGGGTTAAAACGAATGTAGAGCTAGTGAATATGAACCACAGTAATCTTCATAGAATTCAAGCAGGCAGCAAATCTGGGCATATCTCCACACAAATGTGGAACCAGGTAGCAGGAAGCATTAAAACCAAAATTAATACATAAAATAAAATCAAAGTCCATATAAAGTTACAGTGCAGGTGTCTATATCTTGTTTATAGATTGTCCTGATCTGAGTGCTCTTGACAAATCGTTATTCTAAAAAGAAGTAAATAAGAAGATTTTGGAGGAAATAAAAATAAAGGAACACTCCAATGGTAAAAAAAAGAAGTAATTTTATGTTTTTAACAATTTAGTAGCTATAACCCAAATGAATAAACTCATGCATTAAAATAACACATTTTTATATTTTCATTGGGGTTATATCTAAAAACTGCTCCTAAAAGCTGCATATATATCTTGCAAAGCCTTTGCAAGCCCTCCCCTTCTTACACCGCTTAGACTTTCTGTGGCCAATTTCTATTTAGATGTGAAGCACTTCAACAAGCTAAATCTTTAAGAACTACTGTCACTCACTATGACTATATTGGAATTTCCCTGAATTTTCAACACAGTCAAAAGATTTACAAAGACAAACCGTGACTACTTTGTCTTAGTAGTTTTCCTACGCTTGACAAAACTTGCCAACAAGCAGGGCTAACACCATAATAGGCATTGTCTATAGGATCCCGCGTTCTAGCAAAATACGCAAAGACCGCCGACAGTGACAGAGCCACTTTGACTACATTTTTTAAATGCTGAATTTTTTAAATGCTGATGAGCATGCAAGATGATATAGCAGTACGGGATTCTGTAACTTTCTGCTATATGTTAAATGACACCTAGAATGTGAAACAAAGGATTTCTATGTGATTTGTATAGATGATAAATCAACTCAATAGACTGTATGTGTCACTTTAATTTGCATAACAAAAATCGCTCTTGATAAATCCCTCTTGTGTTTTATCTGAAATCAAAACATGAGAACAGTTTCTCCAATTATCATTATTTTTTATTTATCCAGTTTGTGCATTTCTTGAAAATCTAATTAAACATTTTTTTTTAAATCTTTTTGTAGCTGTAATTTGACCTCCATATCACCTTGGAACATCAGTTCAAGAAAAATGAATCTTACCCTCCATGACAATCCACTGACCTGCAACTGTGAATTTTCACTGTGGCTGTCAAAGCACCCAGAGGTTAAACTGCTCAGGTACCGTAAACAGTGGTTTTGAAATACCACATGTTTTTTTGCTCGTGGTATAAACGTTTCCAACAGAGTATAAATGTTTAATAACCATCAATTCAAAATGATTCCACTGGGGCACAAAACCCAAAAATCTGAATAAACTGAGATTTACTGGCACAAAAAAAAAAGAAACGTCCTGACGGCTACTTACTCGAATCATGAAAAAATAAGCAGATATTGTGACAAATAAAAATATTCCAGAGGTCGTCATCATAGAGGGAATTCTAGTAGAAAAATGGATTTGTGATAAAAACCATTGAATATGAATAGGGAGCTACACTTGAGATGTATCATCATCAGTTGTCAATCAGTGTCAAGAATGCTATAAAGCAAAAAGGCCAGGTGATAATTCAAAAATAGTCAACAATAATATTAAAAAAGTCACTTCGCTGTCCATGAAGCAGTAAGGACTTGCTTTTCATTGGACATTATTATATAAGTATGAACTTTCCATTAGACTCTTTTTATTAGCTACGTGGTGCCTCTATTGCTGTATAGACCAAACCCCCCCACCCCCCACCCCCCAGTTTCTTGTCCCAATAATGTGCTAGACCAATTGCTGTTCCAGAAGGATGTTTGTGCCCTCTTGTATTATTGGTGTCAATCTCCCCAAAACTAGAAAATGGCAAAAAACTCTCTATAAAATGGCAAATAATTGGGCAGTGAGACTGCATGGGACATGCTCTATACACCATAACTGCTTCATTAAGCTAATGTTGACAAATTATTGCCCTGCAACCTTTCAAAAAAAGACTTATCTGCAATCCAGAGCCGTGCGTAGCTCTTAGCGCTGACTTCCATGGCCCCTCCGTGGTCAGAAGGGCCTTGCTTAGTCTAATCACAGGCTTCTCATAGAGAACAATGTTACAAAAAAAAAAAAAAGATGTTTGTTCACACACTGGTTATAACACACTTTTATTGAAGTGGAATGGCAAACATTTCAGCTCACTCTCAAGTCTTTCTCGTGACAATCAGGCAGCTTTCAGTCTGGCTAAAATCCAGAGCAAATTCAGGCTTGTTCTGATTCTACTCTGCAAAATATGTAAATTGTTAAACAATGTGAACCATGTCGAGATTTTGCCGTTCGTATGGCCCATACAGCACCAGATGTTTTGCCCACATTTAGTATGGGACCATTCAGCCATGTGGATAGATGGATGGATAGTTAGATGGATAGGTGGATGGATGGATGGATGGATAGATAGATAGATGGCTAATCTGTGGATTTATAAAAAAAAAATTAAAAAACGATATAAACAATTGTCACTGTTCAAAAATATGATATATGAAAATTAACAATAATTTTTTAATCTTTTAGGATAAATGAAACTTCCTGCCAAAGAGATTCTGTTTCCTTTTCACTGTACTCAGATTTAATGCTGTGTCAGCTAAACTCCATAAATGACACCTATAATCTAACAGAAGAAAATGAAAACATCCCAACGTTGTCACATCCACACGTTGTCACATCCACGGGAAGGAATGAATATGTAGGAACATCTAACGACTCCTTAAAACTGACATCCACTTCTCAGGACAAAGCAAGTAAACTATCTGTTATTAAAAGCATTATTGTTTTCAAGACAACCTCTACGGACTCCAGCTTAACAGCTGCCCTTCCGAAATTACTATTATTTTCTCCTGATAATCAAGAAACTACAATAGGTCCTAACCTAAAACAAGTCTCCACGGAACACCATGCATATTCCACCAATGGTGTTTTAGGTTCCACAACTAGAGAACAAATTGAACAAAGGTCTGTTACGTCTCCAAACCTTTTGACTGTAACTAGCGCAATTCAAGTTGAACAAACAACCCAGCAAACCACAGATATAATTACACAAAAAAGTATCAAAATTCATGGCGTCAAAGGCAATAACCCAAGAGAGAGCTCTCCTTTTGTTGAAATTCCTATGGACTATGACTATCACGGTGCAGAGGATAAACCAAAAACAACAATCATGAATCAGGTGGTGTCTTGTGATTATGACCCTTGTAGGCACCTACAGACGCCCTGCTTTGATCTTCAGCAGGACATGCACTGTTTGTGCCCTGGACTATCAGGTGAAAACATTGTTCCTGAACCGCCACGGCTACGGGAAGTGACAGAGATAACAGACACATCAGCACAAATCCATTGGTGTGCACCAAATTCTGTAGTGCACAAGTATCAACTTGTATATTACATGGCAGGTTATGAAGACCAGAGTGTGGTAGACAACATCTACGAAACCGCAAGACAATACACGCTATATAATCTATTACCCGATACAATGTATCGCATATGTGCAGTTAGTGTTAATAAAGCAGGGGTCAGTAATACAGAAAATGATAATTTGTCAAAATCTCCATGCACTGAATTTAAAACCAAGCCAAGTTACATTATCATAATGGCCACATTAAGTGCCCTGTGTGGCTTGTTTTTAGTTGCCATAACAGTAATGTCAGTGTGTTTATACAAGATGCGCAAAAATAATCTGCTTAATCAGTATGATACACATCTTGTTTCCTATAAAAATCCTGCATTTGACTATCAATTAACCATCCCATCTTATAACTAATATGGTTTAATTTCCATACCTATCTGTATAAAATGTGTAATTTGGATTTTGGAGAGAGAGGATTGTAACATTGAATAAAACCCAGTCCCAATATACTGTATATCCAATATATTCATGCCTTTCTTTTACAGAAGTATAAACATTAAGTTATTTTTGGCCAAATGAAAAACAGCAATAATAATATTATGTTAAATTTTATAAAGGCATGGAACAAATTCTTAGAGTCATGAATGTTACATTTTCATTTATATTGATGCAACCTGTATATTGGTAGAACTTGTAGGTCCTACTCGAACAGCCTAATGTCTGCTTCATGAGCTACTTACTTGGGGGGGAAAAATCCATCTATTTTTTTTATAAGTATAAAGACTTTATCACCATTTTTTATACATCTCTATTGTATTTTTTTTGTTTTTGTTTTTAGAAGGGCCCCCAAACTATAGAACATAATGGCTCGATTTAGTTTATTTGCAGTTCTTTTTAAGCTGTTCTGGAAGTTTAAATAAAATATTATGCATTTTTAAGTTGCACAGAGCTTTCCCTTCTCAGCTCGAGAAAGCGATTGTGTTGGAACTTCAGTAAAAGTTCAAGTGCTTTTTCACTACTGTAATGTGCCAAACCTTTTCTTTTAAAATTCTCATTTAAAGCAGCCACCGATTCGCTTTTGCACCTGCACAAATATGAGTAGTACGAGTGTGTGTTGGTGTCTCATCTTTTTTTGTATGTTTTTAAGCAGACAGTGCTGGTTGTGAAGGCCTTGAAGAGTCCATGCGGTTTTCTAAAACTTCATAAAAGTGAAAACATAAATTCTTTACTTTTCCATAAGGTAAAATATATTGTTGAAGTTTATTGGTTCACTGGATCCATACTAAACATATGTTGCTATTTCTTAAAGTGACTGTCACCTTCCTGGTATTTTTATTATATAAATTTTGCAAAGACGGATGGTGACGTTGCCGCTTGGTGTGCGGTGGTCGGGAAGAAGCTATACATACCTGATGGTGTGCCCACTGGGAAGCCACCTTTAATCTTCACCTCCTCCTTCATTAGTCCATGTCGGTGCTTTACACACATGTATGAGAGATTGAGAATGTCTATGATGGATCGAGACTGCGGGAGCCTCCATAGATATTAACTTCTATAAACCCACTATTTTTATTGTAGTTCCATAACAATAGCAAATACATATCACAATCAAAGCTCATATTCAGTGAATTGTATTTTTCTCTCTATTTCTATCATAATAATGACTCTACTGGCTGCTTTGATAGAAGAGTACAGCAGAAGAGACTGAAGAGTAATCTGGCCCATGTAGATAAAGATTGATTACATAACCAATAGTGTTATCTTCAATTACATTTTCTGTGAATTTTTTTGTATTGTGTATTAACTTATTAAAAGTGAAAACATTTTTAGAATATATGACAATTTTGTGTTTTTATTTTCTAGAGTATATGCTGAAAGGTACACATTTACTGTGTGCAATTATAGCCTAAGCCTGCCTAACAATGTTCAATGTCTATCATTCATCCATCTATCTAGTTATCCATCGTCCCTTTAGGACATCTACTACTGGTTAAAGACCATTGTTTTGCATCAGGAGGAGAATAGCGGCAAAGATTACTGTAGGTTGCGTAATTTTTACCATGCAACGAAGGAGGGTTCCACACACTTCTCTTCAATTAGTGAACATTCAGCGTCCACAGGATCATTTCTTGTTTTTGACTAAAACTGTATGCTGCAGTATTCACGAGACCAAATCAATTACAAGTCACCTCAAAATAATTTTAATATTAGAAAACTTTAATTAAGTATTGAAAGGAAATAGATTTTTTGTTTTAGGTGAAGTGTTTGAATCAGTCTATATGGTCTTCCCTGCCTCACTCACTTTATATGCAGTGCAGTCAATGCCCTGTGTAGTCTAGTAAGGAGAAGTTAGGCTCTAATCTTGAAACAGATCACAGAGACCGTCTATTTTCAAAGATTATTTGACCCAAGGTGCATTTATATGGCTGAAGGATCAGATCATATACTTAAAGGACCACTATAGTGCCATGAAAACACTCGTTTTCCTGGCACTATAGTGCCCTGAGGGTGCCCCCATCCTCAGGGTCCCCCTCCCGCCGGGCTCTGGGGAGAGGAAAGGGTTAAATCTTACCTTTTTTCCAGCGCTGGGCGGAGAGTTTTTCTCCTCCTCTTCGGCTGCACGCGCATTGAGCCAGTCTCATAGGAAAGCATTTATAATGCTTTCCTCTGGACGCTTGCGTCTTCTCAATGTGATTTTCACGGTGAGAAGCACGCAAACGCCTCTAGCAGCTGTCAATGAGACAGCCACTACAGGCTTTAGAGGCTGGATTAACCCATTTATAAACATAGCAGTTTCATTAAGCTGAAGTGGTCTGGGTGCCTAGAGTGGTCCTTTAAGGTGGTGATGAGATATATACATATATACACACACACACACACACACACACACACACACTGAAAATACCGGCACTCAAGGTTTTCCAGAAGATAAACTTCTCCATTTATTGCGGGAAAAAAATTTGACGTTTTAGCTCCACTGGGGAGCTTTCATCAGTTTCCTGATGAAAGCTCCCCAGTGGAGCTGAAACGTCAAATCTTTTTCTGCAATAAATGGAGAAGTTATCTTCTGGAAAACCTTGAGTGTCAGTATTTTCACTTTGTTTATGATTAAGCCACCAGAGCACCAGGTACTATTTTTATATATATATATATATATATATATATATATATATAAATAAAACAAGAGGGGGTTGGCTGCACTCACCTTAACATGCATAAATGGGGGTGCTGCTGGGGGCCAAATAATACAATACACAAGATCCAGCGCACTCACCTATCCACTAAACAGCAACTTCAATGTTGAAAGATTTTATTTGTTTTTTTAAAAACACCTAATCTAGGCAAAAATAATGGGGTTTAGTTACATTATATGATCATACATTGCATAAGCCTGCCACAACGTCAATGTACCCCATCTTTGGCAGGTCCTACACTAACAGCCTAATGTCTGCTCTTATGAGATTAACCTACTTGGGGAAATAAATTCCATCTGGGGCTCTCTGCAGTACAAGGCTAAATAGGGCCCTGGGATGAGGCACCTGTGAAAAAAAAACAAATAAAATCTTTCAACTTTGAAGTTGCTGTTTAGTGGATAGGTGAGTGCGCTGGATCTTGTGTATTATATATATATATATATATATTTTAAACAAAGGTGCTCTCCTGGTCTAAATAACATTTATTTATTGTGCAAAAAGGAACTACCAACGTTTCGACCTATTCAGGTCTTTCTCAAGATCTTAAGACCTGAAAAGATCTAAACGTTGGTTGTTCCTTTTTGCACAATAAATAAATACGTTATTTAGACCAGGAGTACACCTTTGTTCATAGCCATATAAATGCACCTTGGGTCAAATAATCTTTGAAAATAGACAGTCTCTGTGATCCCTGATTAGATTAGAGCCTAACTTCTCCTTACTAGACTACATAGGGCAATGACTGCACTGTATATAAAGTGAGTGAGGCAGGGAAGACCATATAGACTGATTCAAACACTACACCTAAAACAAAAAAAATCTATTTCCTTTCAATACTTAATGAAAGTTTATTATTTTTTTAACATAGATTTCACTTAAAATAAATAAATCTAGTTCCTTTCAATGCTTGATTAGACAAAGGGCTGTCTGCAACGCTTAAAGGGATACTCAAGGCACCCAGACCACTTCTGCCAATTGGAGTGGTCTGGGTGCCAACTCCCACTACCCTTAAAGGACCACTCTAGGCACCCAGACCACTTCCGCTTAATGAAGTGGTCTGGGTGCCAGGTCCAGCTAGGGTTAACCCATTCTTTCATAAACATAGCAGTTTCAGAGAAACTGCTGTTTATGAATGGGTTAAGCCTTCCCCTATTTCCTCTATTGGCTGTCTCATTGACAGCCACTAGAGGCGCTTGCGTGCTCCTCACTGTGATTTTCACAGTGAGAGCACGCCAGCGTCCATAGGAAAGCATTGTAAATGCTTTCCTATGCGACGGGCTGAATGCGCGCGCAGCTCTTGCCGCGCGTGCGCATTCAGCCCAGGAGGAGGATCGGAGGAGGAGAGGAGGCAGAGAGCTCCCCGCCCAGCGCTGGAAAAAGGTAAGTTTTAACCCCTTTCCCCTTTCCAGAGCTGGGCGGGAGGGGGTCCCTGAGGGTGAGTATGTTTTCCTGGCACTATAGTGGTCCTTTAAAGAGTTTTAGAGTTAAATCCAAATCATAAATGTAGAACATTTTACATTTATGCATTTAACAATCTTTTGTTATTGTTTGTATTGTTTTATTATATGAACAACATTATTTAATGCAACATTTATTAACAATATTTATGTTGCTGAACAACATTTAAAGGGATGAAAGTTGTGAGAGTGGAACTAAACAACAGGTAGACTAGAAGGTCGAATCATGGGGGAATTAAAAAGGCACTGGAGAATCCCTTTAAGTATGTCCAGACTCCATATTGCTGTATATATATAAATGGTATAACCTCTGGTTACCTCCTCAACCGGAAGGACCTCTGGATTGAGATATGTGGATATATAAAATAAACTCATGTAAATTGTACATTTGTGAAACAAATGTCAGTTTAATTAAATCCAATGTTATATTTTCAAAAGGTTCAAAGTGAATTTAAAAAATAAATAAATAAAACACACGACTTGCTACCCAAGCCAAACAAGGTTAAAAATCTCCCCAGTAAGGCCAATAATACTCAATTTAGTAACAAACTATTCAATACTGTTCGAAAAACTGTCCAAATGATTATCTAGAGAAGTCACTATTAAAGTTTATGAGAATTTGTAGATTATATAAAAAAATTTTGTTATAGTATTGAATCATTTGGAAAGGCTATTAAATCAAGGCCTATATTTTGTAAAGGTTTAGTTGGCCAATGTCTCAGAATATATTGACCACATCCTCCAAAAATTTGTGAAAGACAGAAAAACTGATTTTAAAGACAAGCAAATTCTCATTAACATGTTGGGAGATTAAAAAGGATGAGGAGTTATGGCTAGTGAGCTGTGCGGTTAATCCACTATATATTAATATTAAAAATGGATGTGCAGCAGTGGAATTTTTCACTTAAGAATTCTAACCTGAAACAGGATCAAGAAGAATTTGTAATTGATGGGATGAGGTGGATATTAAAACAGGTTTTATTTTTTTTTTGTTTAAAGGAATTTCTTTTTACAGGTGGGGGTCAGATACGACTATGATTATGCAAATTTGCAGAGAAGGAAAATAAAGTTACAGAAACTAATGGAGTTCGGGTAAATTACAGAAAGGCTTCACATTATAGAATTCATGTTTATTGTACGAAAATTCAAATATTGAATATCTAGTGTATAAATAATCAATCTGTAATTTTGTGTAAATCAACTCCTTGAGACATACAATAATTCAGTTTCTGTAATGTTTACAGTCCAGTATCATCTCAGTATCGGGAATATATATATTTGATCATCCAAGTAATAATTCTTATGTCCGTATATACATTCATTTGTTCAAAATCTTGACTGTTTCTTGTCCGTAACGGTAATAGCTGTATGCAGAGGCAGCAGTTGTAAAAGCAGTGATACACCTGTGGGTTAGAACAGAATCGACCTGGTCACAGAAAGAAAAATGTAAAGCATAATATTCAACTACAGACACCCCCGTATCCTAGGTCTTGAGGATCTCTGTGCCTGGTACATGTCAAGACGGGCATTTACTGGATTATTGCTGGAATGCTTCACAAAGAATCAGTCCAGCTACACTATGTGATTGGCCACCAAGTGTTGTGATTAACCTAGGAGACAGTCACAGTAATGACATGCCTGTCAGCTATGTCATGTAATCATTACCATTGGCCTACCTGTAAGGACTAGAGCTAGTGTAAATGTTTGAAGCTAGTCATTATAGGGAGACAGTAATTTTTACAAATAGCTTCACTGGAAATCTAGCACAAAAGGTACTTCAAAATTAAGACATCTTCAATTTGACCCTGTAAAGTTACCAAAAAACGTGTCAAAAAAGGTATACACGCAGGGTTTTGCTGTACTCGGGAGATATAGGTGCTGAAATAAACAGGTGAAAAATAAATCTCAAAATGCCCCATAATTATCCCGATGGGTTTTATTTTAAAAAAATTAAAAAAAAAGTATATTTCATGATAATGGGAAAATGTAGTTGGGAGCCTATATTTCGACCCAAAATGGAGTAAATCAATCTTTGAAAAATGGAAATGTAAAAAAACTGAATTAGGCATGTCTGTAATATGAAACTATAAATATATAAAAAAATAATAATCTGTTTTTACATTGTT